GCGCTTCGCTGACGTCCAAGAGGACCGTGATCATGTCCAGGTATCTCGAGGTGTTGTCCAAGTTCGTATCCAGCGGTACCACTGTGGCATCGATTCCGGCATCCCGCAGCTTTTGGTATATCTCCCACGCTTGCCTGCTGGTGGCCTGGTGGAGTGTCACGACGATGGTGGCCCCGTTAGGCCCCCGGCCGTCCGTGAGCCATCGCTGCCAGTGTCCGATGAGGGAGTCGCCATCGTACGTGAGGCGACTGTACGATGTGGATACCCCGAACAGTAGGCTGGAGCCATCGACGGCAGCGGGGCCGGGGCTCTCCGGTACGGGAAGCACCCTGGCGACTCCTCCGATCTCCAGACCGAAGTTATCGTCGTCCCAGCGCAGGTTCCGAAACCCGTTGTCTGCAAACCTCTGCTTGATGTGCGTCATGGGAAGCCTCTCGGCGGCCTCTGGTGCCGCCTTGATTCTATGCGAGACCCACGAGATTGTGCGTGTAAGGTTGTTTCCCTCCGCCAACACCCGCAGGTAGTTGGTGTCATGCTCGGTGATCCTGTTGTCCCCCGGCTTGACCAGGGGAACAAGAGGGTCGGTATCGATGATTTCATAGCCATCCTGGCGGCTCCGCACGACTTGGATCAAGATGAACAAGAGGACCAGGAGGAAAGTCGCGGCATGCAAGGCCCTGGCATGGTTATGGTGCCCGTGGGGGGGCTGCATCATGGAGGCGGGGAACGGAACGTCTGCGGTACCCATTGTATTGTTCGCTACCGGGGTTGCGATGAAGCGTCACTTGAATTGGACGGGTAAAGCTTCCATTACGGGGCAGATCCCATCTTTTTGAGCGGATTCATGGGAATGCCGCCCTCGATAAAGGGATGTTGCTCGGAATCCAGTTGGCCTGGGAGGTGAGACACCGCGCATGCCCGTCTGGCGGTACGCGATCACTATGTATGGCGTTTACATGCCAGGCGGAGAGCAACAAGAGCCCCCCCCCCCCTTTTTTTTTTTGCCCCAGAATACCTCTTGAAGCATGTTGAAGATGTAGTTAGGTTTGAGGGTCGTCGAGTTGTCTCGAGAGTTGCAACGCCTGAAATCTATTTGTAGACTTGAGACGCACCTGTCGCGAGTGAATCGCCCCCGCAGGGTCCCTCAAATTATCCTCCCTGATATTGGACGACCAACATTCCCAAGCCCGAGTTTACAGGATGACGGGGGGCAAAGGGATCGGGTCTGGCTTTGAGAAGGAGAGAGGCAAAGGACCGGCAGCGATCTCGGCGAAGCTGTGGTCGAGGAGGCTCTTTGCGGGTCACTCGAGTAACAAATGCTGGCGGCCCGGTGCTGTGGAGGGAGGACGTCTCTGCAGCAACGGTAGTTCATCAAAACCGGCCCGACAGAAACGCTGGATGAGCAGACCAGTTCATCAGACTCATGTGAGAAGAAAAGAGAGGGCGTGCCGCGGAAGAAAACGAGCCCGTGAGTCTCCTTCCGGGTGATTGGGCCAAAACAGAGAGCTTTTGCTTGCTTCTCGACGCCCAAGGGAGGACGACGAGCCGCTCACGTTGAAGAACCAACCGCCTCTTGACTGCCATCCTTGCGTCCATCAAAGTGTGTATGGCTTCTTCACTGGATCCTCGACGAAGACATCCTTCTTTCGTATCACCCGGCCCCTCGTCCAGCATACCTCACTCCCTGCCACTTGCACGCCATCCTTCAGTCCCCCCCCCTCCATCTCGCCCGTCTTACGTTGGACCTCTCGGAGATATTATCAATCATTGCACCCTGTGTTGCTTCACCCCACATGGAGTATTTTTCCTTCCGACGCGGTGCCACGCAGCAGTGGTGCAGCGCCGGCCACGACGAGTTTGCGTCGAGGGAGAACGGTTAAACCATGAGGTATTCCGGTCGCACCGAGTGAGGCAACCGTTGTCGCCTTTTCAGGTCAGTAATACAAGCACAGTTTATTTATCCGCAGGTCGCAGGTCAGTTCTTGATTAAAGTCTCATCGGTCAAAACTTTTGAAATCATTCGTTCTTCCTTGATGGCCACTCGGATGTGCTGGGAACTGCGGTCAAAGCATCCACGACTGGAGTTTGCCCGCGCTGTCCTGAGAACCCCGAGAGCTCAAACGCATCCAGAGGATGGGCCCAACCACCTTGTCATCTCGAAATCGTTGAGGGTGTGCCTTATCCCACCGTTTGGTACGATCATGGCCTGACGCGACTGTGGACTGCCCTTGCCGCGGCCGCCGCAGACGTGACGCTGCCCGTCCGCCCTCGAGCTACACAACCACGATTTGCATCCACGCTGTGCACAACCAGCTTCCGGTTTCTGCATGGCAAAAAGAGCAAAGTCTCCCAGAGTCGATGCGTACAGCCGTTTCTGCATCCATCTTGGCGTCGCACCACGCATGGCGGCCTCGCCACCTCTCTCTCTCTACTGTCACTCGCTGCGGTATCACCGAGACTGTGCATGGCCATCTGAAACCCATGATGGTATCTTCATCACTACTTCTTTCAAGCTTTGTAACCCTCTTGTGCGCGGGGCCCTCTCCGGATCATACAGGTCCAAGTCTGAAGACCTTGGACTGGAAGACGTGACGTAGCATCCAAACCGTGGCGGCGCTGTCACGATCTGGTGGGGTTGAGGCTCACCCTACCGGCATCTCTTATGTTGGGCGAAACATTTTGACAAACGCCTAGTTACCGGTTCCTCCGTCTGCGGCAAGGGTCCGAAAAAGCCAGCTGTCGTCCCTGTCCACACTCAATGCAAAGCGTCAAGGCCATCCTGGCTCGTTGCCTGCCTAGCTCACAAGTTTCGCCGTTTGCAAGAGCCCCCCCTCCCCTCCCTCCCCAGCCAGGGAGCCGCATTCACGATGGTCTCAATGCCTGTTGAAAGTAGCGGTGCGCGGGAGGCCGCAGAAACCCAATGTCTAGCCACTGCCTTGACGAAGCGCTAGCAAGGGGTCGTTGACTCGACCGCGCCCAATGCTGTTCTCCGGATTATGGGCATATATCATGGGATTCGCGACTTGACGCTATTCCTAGCGTCACTTCAGTAACCCGGCCGCGGAGCACTGGAGTTTCCTTGGGTTTGATCCCACACAGACGGTCAAGGTTGGCCCGTGATGAGCTCCAGCACACCCTCCGCATCCTGGTTAACATGACAGCTGGGAGGAGGATTCTACTGCTTGAAACCCCTCAAGGAACGTATCCATCAGCCCACGGGTCGCACCTGATGATAAAGCGGCTTCTCGTGCTCCCTATCGGACATTTTACTCTTGTGCTTGTACGCAGGAAAGCTCGTGGGAAGAAACGAGGGACCGTAGGGTGACAGCTGCAAGCACCCCCTTCAGGGAGAGACAGACAGACGTAAGTCCAAGACCAGGCTTCTCGAACAACCCCAGAATACCTCAGGCATGCTTTGAATTGCCTACGGATATGCACATGGGCCAGCTACAAAGAAACTGACTTGACTTTAGCGGTCTGACGAAAGGCTGGTCGCCATCTTCACCCCTAGTTACCGAAATGGGCTCCAAGGCGGTCGGTCGGTCCCCCCGCCCCCCATGCTGCGTTTGATATGGGGAGGTTATTCAGTCACCGCAGACCACAGATGAACACCGCCCGCATCACCGCCCATTACATCTCATCCCAGAGTCACGGCCACTTGTGCCGAGTCAGGTTGACATTGCGCTGAGATCTTCAATGTATCAGGAGGACCAGCTCTGCTCCACCATCTCAACCAAGCTGCTAGACTCAACGGCCAGATGGCACCTCATGCGGCTACCCGTGAACCCGCTCTGCGAATCACACGCCCCATGCGCGTCCAAACAAGGCGTCTTCTTTCCCTGTTTGGACGCCGCGGGAGTCTCTGCTGTATTTGCTCTCGCAAACTTTGCCCAATGACTGTGCGATTTTCCATCGGGCGCGCTCCGCAGTCCTCTGTGAATCCTCCCCCATCCCCCTTTGCGGAATAATGCGTGCACTGGTGGAATCGGATGAAACTTGCCTAGTCTCGATCTCCGGCCTCCAAGTCGGTCGCGGGGTGTGGGTTGAGTAACCCAGAAGAGTGCGGTCCTCGCATACGACTGGACGGCCAGCCGGTCTGGCCTGGCCTCCTTCTCTGCGAGCCATGACAAATCCAGCAAAGGTGCGGGTAATTCTGTACGGAAGCTTCCCCGGAACCGTTTGGCCTACCCGGTCTTCCAACACCGAAACGACATAAACGGCAACATACGGTCACCGCACAACCTCTGGTCCGTAGCATCATCCTCTCACATCAGATCTCGTGTGTCGTTTCTTGGAGGAAAACATATTAGATCACACCGTCAGTCCACGATCTAGCCGCCTCTCAGGCCCCCCCCCCTCCCCAGTTCCCCCATACCAGTCATCTATCAATTCGTGGCTTCACCTCGATACGGCAAAAGAAAGAGCGGTGGCCGGCCACAAACGGAAGCCGTACCGCTGAGAGGTCGATTCCAAGACACCTCGCGACAAAGAAGACTTCACCGAGAGCACCGACATCCAAGAAAGAGTCCCCGAGCCCCGTACTGGACCGCAGGCTCCGTTGCAGAGCCGGCAACCTTTCCAAGAAAGACGAAAATCTCGAGCCCCCCCACCCCTTATACCTTTGTTCTGGGACAGCTTTGCCAGTGTGCTGCAAGCCAGCAGGTTGCGAGGAGTCAACCCCCGGGACGAAGACATCGGGTGTTTGTCCATTGCCAATGAAAGCCTGCCTCAGCTGATTCTCCTCCCCTCCCCATTACACCTGGTCCCGCTGGTCTTGCAGGACCTGTCTTAAGTCTCCCCCATCCTCTCTCTCCCTTTAGGATCATCGTTCACTGCACTGGTTTATCAGGCTCGTCCCGCACCGCAGCACTGCACCGCTTCCAAGACACCTTCATCCTCTTCCCCACAAACAGCCCGGCAAGATGCTTTCCGTCTCTTCTCTTCTTAACCCGTCGCCCCCTGGGCCGCTTCCTCTCCCTCGGTTCCTCCCAAGTCCTGACATGTCCTCGCCGGGAAGCTGCCACTCGGACAGAGCACCGTCGCCCTACCTGGACCGACCCGTCATCCCGAAGCTCAAGATGTCCAAAGACCCGGCCCCGATGTCCAAATACAAGCCCCGCGGTGTCATCAAATACTATCCCTTTGAGAACATGGACGAAGTTACCCGCCGTGAGGCTCACCGCTTCCTCATTACGCCTTTCGGAAGGATCCAGGAGTCCTGCGCCCACATCCCCTATAACAGCGGCAAGAAGGACTTTTTTGAGAAGACGGGCCGTGAGAGCTTCGAAGGTGCGTCTTCAGAACGCCCGCGGTGGGTTTCATTTGCTGATGAGCTCGGTGCAGTGTTCAAGTACGAGTTCAAGAACCCAGGCGATGACACCGAGTATACCGTCATGTGGGACTACAACGTCGGGCTCGTCCGCATGACTCCGTTTTTCAAATGTTGCAAGTATTCAAAGGTAAGCCCCCTGCCGCGATCGAATCCGAGGGTCCCTGCTCACGCGTTGCAGACGGTGCCGGCCAAAATGTTGAGCCTGAACCCGGGTCTGAAAGACATCACCCACAGTATCACTGGGGGCGCGATAGCGGCGCAAGGTTGGTTTGCACCGGCTCTTGCGGCTAGGACGTGAAAGCTTACTATGTCAGGATATTGGATGCCGTACGAATGTGCCAAGGCAGTGTGTGCCACTTTCTGCTACAACATTGCCGGGGCCCTCATCCCGATCTTTGGCCCGTCCTTCCCGTCGTTGTGCATCCCCCCAGGCTCCCCAGACTACCAGCGGATGGTGATCGATCACCGGATCGTCAAAGACGCCATCAGGGATGCCGACCTTTCGCGAAAGATCCAGCAGCACGCCCTGCCGCCCATCGACCTTGGCCACGCTCCCGGCATCGAGCGTCGACCCGTACGGCCTCTCCGGGACGACAGAAGGCTGCGACTCAACACCCGACTGATGAGCCCTTATAGCGACACCGACACCGAGAGCCACCGCTCCTGCCCGGACTCCGCCTCGAGCAACGGCTCGGACGGCATCGGCTACAGCTACGGATACCACCCGGGACCACCGCGGCACTCCCAGCCGCCGCCGACATCGGGATGGACGGCCACGAACCGGCCGCCCCAGCCGTACCGGCTAGTCGACGAAAGCCACCGCCCGGCGGACCCGTACCTCAGCGCCGTCCCCCGCTGGACCCCCGTGAACAGGCGCACCGTCACGCCTCCTCGGCCGGCCTGGGCGCAGAAGCGCCCCATCGGTGATGATGATGATGATGGCGGCCAGCACGGTAGCAACGCCCTGCGCTGCGCGTCAGATCAGCAGCAGCAGGAGGACGAGTCTGACGCCGAGCTGGCGGAACAGAACGCCGCGCTCGGCCTCATGACGCTCAAGACGGCGCCCCGGAAGGACGTCGGGTCTCCCGGTGACGTCGACGGCCCCGACTCGCACCGCAGCAAGAGGCGGAGGGCCACGTCTGCGTGAGTGAGGGGGCGTCCGGTCGATGGGGGATGGGATGGGATGGTGATGATGACGATGATGGCGGCGGTGGTAATGGCGATGGTAATGGCGATGGTAATGGACGTCTCGGGCGGTCGGATGGAAAACATACTCTAGATTCCTATGCTTGCTCGCGCACTCTTGTTGGTTTTTCCCTCCTCTTGGATGGATATTGAGGAGTTGGGTGTCGGATAATGATTGCGGCTAGACTAGGAAGATCCAGTACTTTGTGATGAGAACTAAAGGGAGCAAGGAGGGCCTCTGTTGTTTCCCTCCCCCCCAGTTTGCGTGGGCGCGATGTTTGGCACACAAAACAGCCGGTTTTCATCTATGACGACGGAGGCAAAGGGGGAAAAAAAATGCAAGAGAGAAAACCACCCACCCAGCTCCCAAGTTTTTGGCCTTCCGTAGCAATCAAAGAAGTATCTTTTTCTTTTCGTCTTCTTCTTCTTCTTCACCTTCTTCACCTTCTTCTCCCCTATCCAACATTTCAGGGACTTATATCCCCAAACGGATACCCTCCGTCCTCTAGCTGCCCCCCCTTTCCGCGGCCTTCTTGAGCTTGAACTCCTCGATCCACCCCTTGGCGCGGGCGGCGGGCACGACGTACACGCGCACGATGCCGTCGACGACCTCGACGCTGCCGCCGCTCAGGATCTTGAGCAGCGTGGCCTTCTTGCCCACCTTGACGAGCCCGCCCGCGGCCGTCTCCATGTAGCACTCGACGCCGTCGGGCGTGTACTCGCCCTTGTCGTCCCACGGCACGGGCAGGATGTACGCGAGGTGGTCGGCGAGGCGCTCCGTCTCGTCGAAGGCCTTGACGAAGTCGCTCTCGAGCTGCAGCGGGTACAGGAGCACGGCGGGGAAGCTGAGGCTGCTCGCCGGGTCGTCCTCGTCCGGCACGAGGCGCATCCGCGCGTCCTCCATCTCGGGCGGCTGCGCCGTCGTCCGCGTGCGGATGCCCCGCGCCGCGAGGGCCGCCCGCAGCAGCGTCTCGCGCCGCTTCTCGCCGGCCTTCCTCTCGGCCTCGCGCCGCGCCCGGGCGTCGGCCAGCTCCGCCGCCTCGACGATGTCCTGCGCCACGGCCCGGAGCGGCTTGTTGTCCGCGTCGAGGGCCAGGCCGCGCGCGCAGGCGTCGTCGGCCTCGGCGACGCGGCCGACCTTGAGCAGCGCGCGCGCCGAGCGGTAGTAGGCCTTGACGTTCTGGGGGTTCAGCCGCAGCGCGAGGCCGCAGTCGGTCCAGCACGACCGGTAGTTGCCCAGCGCGAGGTGGCACGCCGCGCGGTTGACGTAGAGGCTCTCGAGCACGCCGCGCTGCCGGGCGATCTCGTCGGCGTCGTCCTCGACCTCGACGTCCCGCTCCTCGGCGTCGTCGCCCTCGCCGCTCCGGGCCTTCTCCGTGTGGTACGTCTTCTCGCCGTTGGCCCGCCGCCGCTCCTCGAGCGCGAGCACCTCGATGCCCTTGGTGTAGAACTCCTTGGCGTCGGCGTGCATGCCGGCCTTGAAGCACTCGTTGCCGCGCTCTTTGAAGTCCTCGCCGTTCTCCCGCGCCGTGCCCTCGTACGCCAGCGCCTGCAACGCTGCCACGTCGTCGTTGTCCTCGAGCTCCGTCATGAAGAGCGGCGACTTGTTGAGTTCCGCCAGCACCTGGTCCGGCGTCTTGCCGCTGAGGAGGGCGTGTCCTGGGGGCAGGGCGGCGCCTTTTGCGGCGCCGGGGGGCGCTTGGCCCGAGGCTTCGGCGGCCGACGCCGCGGCGATGGCGTCGCGGCGCTCCGTCTCGGCGATCAAGGCGTCGGCCATTTGGTCTGTGATCTCGTCGATTTTCATGTTTGCGATTTGGCCTCGCAAAGTTTTCCCAATCTCCAGGCTTGCGTTGTGCTTCCCTCTCTCTCTCCCTGTGACGTGACGTGGATTGCTTGGCGAGCTTCGCACACCTGGGTGCGAGTTCCGTGTGGCTCTGAGAGATGTTGAGTTGTGTGGACTGTGTGAATGAAAATTTCGGAGATGAGCGAGTTTGTGCGGTTTCCGCGGTGGCGATTTTTATTGGGTAGGTTGTCCCAAATTCTGGAGTTCGTGGAGTAGCCACGAACCTCATGGAGCTAAAATCGTCCAACCTCTCTCAGTCGAGGTGTTGAAGAACGGCTCAAAAAGAATGCCAAGTGTACTTACTCTACCCCATCTACGGGAGTAAATGATAAGTCCTTCATCATTCCATGTTCAGATTGTCACGGCTGTTGACTGGGCATTTCAGAGTACATTACCAACTCATTCATACCAGCTGAGAACATTGTTTGTAGATTGATCATGAGAACTTCAACTCTAATTAAGGCAACTCAACATGCCAAAAGACCAAATGACAGTCGCTGCCGGCGCTTGCTCAATGCATCCAAAAACTGCAGTCTAGTCGTACTCGCTCGTTTACACTCTGCAGCAAGGGATATCTGTGATCTAATCTGCCGCCCGCAAACACTTGATCCCGACCCCAAAATGCCAAACCAGGTCCGTAACGCCCTCATCTGTTTCAGTCCGAATGTCCGAAACAAAACAAGCAAACTCCCCGTCTATTGCCCCTTTTCATTGTTTTTTTTTTGTATCGTAACGTCTTTGTGAACTTTGTTCCACAGTGTGCCTTTCTTTGCGCACTTTGCTTCGATATCTTTCCAGCCATGTTCGTGACACACTCGTTGCATGACACATTCATTCGTCGTCCGAAAACGTCTCCGTGATGGTGACGTTAGACTCGTTCTTGCGCAAGGATGGCTGAGCCTCCTCCTCCGTCACCTCGTACTTGCGCTCACGCCTCACGGAGAAGCACTGGACAGCACCGATTACGGCAACGATAGCACTGCCGTACCATGCCAGGGCGGTGCAGTCGACCCTGCTTCCCAGAGTGTACAACCAGCCGGCGACAGGAGGAGCGATCATGCGGAAGCCAGCAGCGGCACTCGCGGCCAGACCGTTGACCTTGCCCAGAGCTTTGGGCGTGGGAGTGGCCTCCTTGAGCAAGATCAGGAGAAGCGGGTAGAGGATGATGGACAAGATGTTGCGGATGGTCAAGCATAAGTAAATACCGGCGTACAGCAACGAGGCGGGGAGGAAAAGCAGGCTGGGGACCATGACGTATGCGATCGGGTGCAACACGGTGACAATGATGAACAAGCGGTAGACACCCAGTCTCTCGGCGGCGAAGGGGAAGATGACGGCCTGGACGAACAGCGCAATGACGCCGTTGACGGCCATGATCATGCCCACGGCACGGAGCGAAAGGCCAAGACCACCAGGCGTGTAGAATGGGCTCCCCGAGGAAGCAAGGACGGTCATTGGGTTGCCGATGGCGCGATCGTCTTCGAAGAAGATGGGGAGAAGGTGGTCGTATGTCATCGAGTGGTAAGTGAAGATGCAGAGGGCAAGGATCAAGGACATGATGGGCTTGGTGTAGATGTTGCACGGCTGTTCCGTCGTCTTCCCGGAAGCCCCCTGGCTGCGTCCGCGGACGGTTCCGTAGTTGTCGTCTCTCAAGTCAACGGCGGGCCTTTTCATGGCATCCGAAGTCTCCAGCAAGGGAGTCTCCTCAGAGGCGTAGGTGTCGTCGGGGAGGAAGACACGGGGCTGCATGTCCGGGTGAGTTTCCTCGAGCAGGAAGTAGCCCAGGACGATACTGATGAAGAGGAGAGCAGCGCAGACGAGGTTGGGCAGGAGGTACGGGTAGCGGTAAAAGATGCCATCGGCGGGGAACAGCTTGGGGAAGGCGTCGTGGGGGTCGGCAAATGTGCCACCGATGAAGGGGCCGATGATTGTGCCGATGGACCACACGAAGGGCATGACTGAGAATGCGCGGGCTATGGAGAAAGAAGAAAAAAAAAAGTTAATATGAGGTCGAGTCGGAGAAGGAGGGATAGAACTCTTACGCTCGTGCTCAGGCTTGGTGACCAATTCACCGACCATGGTCTGGATGACACCGATGTTGCCGTTGAGGAGGCCACCGATGGCTCTGCCGGCCACGGCGATCCAGATGTTGGAGGCGAAGCCGACCATGACCATGCTGAACATGGTACCGATGCATCCCAGGAGCAGTACGGGTTTTCTTCCGATACGGTCAGAAAGACCGCCCCAGTACATGCCCATCAGGGCCTCGGCGAGGGAGAAGGAGGAGATGAGGAGGCCGGCGTAGAAGGAGGCATCTTCTGCGTTGCCGATCTCGAACCTCTTGACGAGGGGCCAGGCATAGGGGAAAATTGAGGTGAGGGCGATGGGCTCTGCCAGACGGACGATGGCTGAGAAGGGGGGTGTTAGCTATGGGGGCGCGAGACATGGAATGCCGGCAAAAGGGAGTTTGGCATGCAACTCACCCAGAAGAAAGAGCTGTGCTGTGGGGAAGTCGTCCGGGTTGCGAGGGCTTTTCTGCTTGGTTAGGGCCATTGTCTCTCGACTTGGTTCAAGTCTTACGGTGCGACAAATACAATCGACGAGAATTTCTACTGGAACGTAGAAAAGCTTGAAGAATGAAATGTCGGGATGCGTGTACGCTTATACACGTTTCTCGTCTCCTGGCCGGCAGCGCGTGTGACGTATCGCACGAGGGAGAGAGACACAGGAAGGGTATTTGTCCGTATTCAGATAGTTGATATCGAGAGAGAGAGAAAAAAAAGAAGAGGAGGAGGAGGAGGAATGCAGAAATGAACGAAAGCAGGAGGGGGGGGAGGTAAATAATGCTTCTTGGACGTGGATCCGCGAACGATAACGGCGTTTTGAGAGCGGGTAACCAAGCGCTTGCAGAGCGGTCCAGGATGGAGGTACAGCCAGGTTACACCGGAAGTAAAAGAAGAATAGCGGCTGCAAGCGGGAAACACAGCCGGCGAGTGCGGTGGTAGGGTGTGTTGTGAGTTGCTGCTGCTGCTGGTTCTGGTGGGAGGAATGCTTATGACGGGGAGCGGGATGTGTGTTGTGTTATTTATTTTTATTTATTTTTCCAACCCTCGCCTCTCCTCCTGCTTCTGATACGACTTTGACTTACACCGTCCCGTGTGTCGGACCCAGCCCAGCACAGTACAAAGTGCGACCCTCACCTGCAGCGACAGGTGGGGCGCACCCACGGAATTGCGGTTTCCAGACCGACGGCGCCAGAAGGAAAAAGGAGCAAGTCTGGCCGCACGGCGACAGGGAAGAGAAGAGAGGGGAGCAGAGAGCTTCTTCGTCCGTTGTCTGCGGCTACACTGCACGGAGCAGCTCATGCGCAGGGCAGGGACTTGATGGGCTAGGCTAGGGTATGTGTCTATGCGTCTATGCGGTGTTGCGACCGTTGCCAGTATGGGATATACGAATGGATATGCATGGCGCAGGTGGCGCCTGCGGACCATGTGGGTGACGGGGTGTGTGATCTTGCGCTAGTTCAGCAGCCCTCTTTTATTTTTATTTCCTTCCTTTTTTCTTTTTTCTTATCCTTTGCCTTCTTGCAGGCTATGGAGTACCTACAGCGGTATCCATCTACCGTATCGAGCGAGCGAGCGCACGGGCTCCAAGTGCGGGCTAGCAAAGATGCGCTACGGTTCCTTGTCGATGCAGTAGCGCATCTCGGCGGTGGATTGTCGTCGTGTGTCTTTCCTTGGTCTTCCACTCTTCTCTCCCCTCTCTCGCTTCCTCCCTGTCTCCCTGTCTCTCTCTCTCTCTCGCGCGCTCTCGTCTCCGTGTGTGTGTGTGTGTGTGTGTGTGTGTGTGTGCGTGTGTCGTGTGCCACCCTCCCTCTCCTGAAGAAGCCGCCGGCTGTCGGTGATCGGCCTCCCGGATGAAGTACCTAGGGCGAACTGCCTACCTAGACATCCGCGAACGGGTTCGGGCTTCTTTCCCCTCATACCTCCCGTCTTGCCTCCCACCCTCGTTACAACTGACCGTATCACACGCACACCTTTCCAAGGATCGTCCAGAGCTATGCTTGCAGCTAGGGGGGGCATCCCGTGCCTGTCAACCGGCCGCACACACGATCGACCGCCGTCAGTCGCCCTCGCAACATTGGACGATGGCTTGTTTCTCGAAACTACCGCCCAACTCTCAAACCGGCATTTCGACCACACCGAAATGGAGCCGCTTCGCTTCGCTTCACTTCGGTTCCTTCTGCTGCTGGCCACCCTAACATGTCTGCCTACCTCGACCGGCGTCGGTTCCCGTTCCAAGACCTGATGGAAGAAAGCTCCACGGATCGTCAGTTTTGGGCCGGCCCAGAGTTGTTCGTCGCACACGCCTTCTTCTCTATGTCTACGCAGTGAACTTTGCTTGCCCTGTCCGCCGTCGCTCACTTGCTTAGCCAAGTCTTCCCTGCCTCCTTGTCCAATTCATGGCCTAATTCTGTCACGTTGGTTTGTGCTATTGGCTGGCGGCTCCGACACACTTGGGACGGCTGGCTGATTGGGGCTGCGTCGCGCACACTGTGCACCGCTCCAGTTGCGCTAGCGTGCGCCGCATCCTAGTATCCGAGCCCGTTAGTCATTGTTGTTTCTGATTGGACAGGCCATCCAGTATCTCTCCCCATCCTGACTCTGCCAGCTCCAGTCCTTTCTCTCTCTCTCTCTCTCTCCCTCTCCCTCTCCCTCTCCCTCTCTTTTTCTCCACCACCACCCACACACAACGTCGACAACTTAAGGGCCGCCTTGCCACGCGCCACTGCAACTCAGCATACGCACACCTCGGACGAAACGGGATGGATTTTGCTTTACCGTTGGTTTCTTCCGGAACCCCACTTGCTTGGGGAGTGGTGGTGGAAAGATGTCTACGTCGCCTGACGTTGGGCAACCACATCTTTTGTCGCATTTGACGAGGTTCAAGCCCTTCGTCGGCTACTCTGTGCACTGCACTGCCCCTCGACGTTGCGGCCGCGGGAAAGGTGGTGGGGGGGGACGAGCACGACGGCCCCTTTGTACATGTTCAATTTCCCGTTCCAAGGACACTCACTCAGTCGGCTCCTTGGACATCCTTCAGCAGGATGCGGTGTGCGAGGGCCAGAGGGATGACGATGTTGTGGAGCCTAAATCAAGCTTCGGGTCTCCCAAAGCGAATGGGCAACAAGTGAAGCGACAGAGATCCCGAACCCATCTCCGGCGAGGCCAGGCCAAAGCCTGCGCCCGGCTCAATAACCGGGACGCGACCACGGCCCAGCAAGCAGCCAACAAGCATAAGAAAGTGGGCAAGCAGCAGCAGTCGACCAGGATGAGGACAAGGACAAGGTCGTCCATCTACTGTGCATACTATGTAGTGCAACCGACCCCAACGCCGACGTCGGTCGTCCCCGGCTCTGGCCGCTGTGTAGTTAGTTAACGCAACACATGCGTGGTACGTCTAGCCGCCCACCCCCATGCGTGTCTGCTTGCCTTTCCTTGCCTTGCCTTGCCTTGCCGTGCTTTACCCTTGGCATCGCTCTGGGCCTGGCCACCACCCACTGTTCCGAAGTCCAATGCTGCAGCGTCGCTCCTCAAACCTCCTCCCGGCTTGCAGTCTGCATCCTAAACACATGATCACCACTGGCAGCTGCAGTGCATCCTGCATTTATCCAGCCCGCTCGTCCGCCGGCAGTGGCATTTCGCCTGCCTGTCCAGTAGGATATGGCTCTCTCGTTCCGTTCGCCAGCGAGATACCTTTGCGCCATGCTGCACTGCACTGCACTGCAATCGCGCAGTTAGAGGAATGCCTTTGTTATCTCACATATCAGCTATTACATTGAAGCCTGGCATGAAATTAGTCTATGACTTCCACAACGCACCTCGCCTCGAATGACACGCACCATCACGGTCACTACTTTAGCTCCGTCTTTAGTTCCCCACCGCCCACATGCAACGCTGCCCCATGTACGTGAGTCTTGTACGGATACACTAGTGTCGAAACCCCCGAATACCGCTTACTTGCATTTGCCGCCTACGCTACTATCCGTCCCCCTCCCCGGTAATGTGCTCTCTCCGAACCTCCATCCTCTTCCCAACACGAGTGCTGGGCCGACCATCCCACTCCACCGACTTTTCCACCAACCTGCCCTCCCACCAGGTCATGCCCCCTCACATCACACCCCGATGGCTGCGTCTCCATGCCTCTCCTTTCCGTCCGTCCTCGCTTCAACCGACTGTTGGTCTCAAAACGTCGTCAAATTGCTCCTCACCCCCTTTCATCGACGTCGAGTCTGTTCCTCGCCGCCCCGCATCCCAATCTGCAGGCATCACCTTCCGGTCGGCCCCATGACAGGGGTTCTTTATGGGAACTTGCGCTAGTTGCCGTTGGGAACCCCGGAAAGGGGAGGGGGGGGGGGGGGGGGGGGGTGAAGCTTGTGTGGGTCGCACTCGCCCACCGACAACGCTCTTTGACTTCGTCTCTTCCTTCATAGGTACGTGTCGAAGGTCAACGGTTCGGAGTCGCGAGCCCGTTGTCTTCTGACGACCTGAGACGACCGCTAAGAGTCAGTCGTAGGGCTGTTTTTGTTTTTCTCGACCCCCTCAGGAGTCTTGTCCTTCCGCTCGTCGTCGTCGTCTCGTTCATCTTCACCAATCACCAAAGCGCGTCCGCACACCCTGCACTGCACCACTCAGATGGGTCCGCCCCAAGGACCAAAAGTGTCTTGCGTCGGCGCAGAACGCCGCCGCCACGACCATCTCCGTTCCAATCTTTGATGATGTGGAAAAAACCGCTACTTGGAGTCGTCTAACTTTTCGGCATCAAAAATGCTTAATTCCCAAATGCGCCCCTCCCCTCGATGGGCCTGAGACAAGGGTGCCATGGTCCCTGACGTCGTGCTCCACTCACCCCGCGCACGCCATCCTATAAGGCTCTGACGTTCTCGCCAACCCCCACGCCGTCCATGTCTTACAAAGAGCCGCCTTCAACGTCGTCTCTTGATTGTTCGGGTCGAAGGCGCATTGGATTTGCGTTGCTTGAATTGCTTTCGACGGTCAATGCATATCGCGATATCGTGTTACGACGCCCATTGGCCATCCTGTCGCTCTGGCGCTGGACGGCTTGCATGTTCGTCTTGTGTCGAGCTAGATGATTAGATGCCTGTAATTGGTACGGGTCCTCGTGGGCTTCTTCACATGTTTTCAGGTTGCTCGATACACTCCTCGGCGGCACGAGTCCCGTCCCATTGTCCCAACAACGCCACTAGCTGCAGGTGTCGGTCCGTCTAGATTTGCGACACTTGATTCAACATCAAGCCAGGGCCTGAATACTTCAATGTCCCTCTCACATGCGTCCAAACCAAAAGCTAGGCTGAGATGCTCTATAGAAACTACGAGCGGCTTGGCTATGCAAACGGCACGACCCAAGACCGGAATCCCCAACGATCAATCAACCTTTACAAATCACCGGAGGATATCCTCATACCTTTGCCAACAAGCCGATCATCACCGACGCTTGCGACAAGTGCATTGGTTTTGAAGTCGTTTTATCTGTGGTGTACAATCACCTTCTATGGAATATACCTGTCTACATACGGCCTTTCACGGCTCAACTGTCCAAACGGAAACCATCCCGAATAAAGGTAAATATAGCCAGAGCTTGGCATAGTTATGGGCCTCAGAACTTCTCAATCAGACCGCAAAAAACCAACTTGAAACTTCCTCTAATATGAAAACCCCGTCTCGAAGGCCATCCAGGGCAGCCGGGCCGGCGATGCGATCGAGGCGGGGCCGCGTTTGCAAGGCAAAGGAAGCCGCTTCGCTGGAGACGCGGCGACGTTGGACGCATCGCACGCCGAGTCTTCTGCGGATTCTGTAACGATACTCTCGCTCGCGTTGTTGAGCTGTTCAGGCTGAATATTCCGATGAGCACGCGCGCCGAGATACGAGGCTCCTCATCGTGTCGCAACAGGGCGCCTCTCCTGCAATCCGGCTCTCCACCAGACTCTGCAACTTGCGACGCCCCCCGAGCGGGGTTTTGGGCCGACGGATGCAGGATGCTGAGGGGGTCTCAACGAGTTCGCGATCACGCCATCGCCCCCGACGACCATGTTTGGGGCCGCTCCTGAGAGTGATTGGCCTCCTGTCTCCTATTGGCGGTATCCATGAGCCTCTCCCGTTTCCGTTCCCGAGCCTCGGGCGATGAGAAGAGAATGGCGCTTTGCAAGCGGAAGTCGGTTACATGAACCTGCTCAACGCCCGCACCCCGCCTCCAACACTCGCAGGCATTCGCTGATATCGTTCTCTTTGGATGACGAGCAGCCATTGGAGCCGAAGCGTGGCGGCGGATGGCGTCTTGCAGCCGCCTCGCTGCCTCGGATTCTACTGCGTCTGTCGAGGAGAATTTGACCGTCCTTTGTCCTTCCGCAGCACCCCCGCGGTAATACGCAAGAAGACAGGGATGAAGCTGCACGCCTCGGGGAGCGATCAGTCACCAATTTCATTCGAGGCACTCCAGGAGGCAAACCTGTGGTCACAAGATACCAAGAGTCGTTCGCAACCGTGGCTTTAGGGGAGAAGTCGAAGATGAAGCTGCCGCAGAAGTCCTACACTTTCCGAGCCTGTCGTTCCCGATGGCGTTGGGCTTCGGTTCTCGTCGCGTTGGATGTAGACTGGATGGCTTGCAGGTTCGATCTCTGTCGCAAAAGTCGTGATAGAACATGCAATCCTAGCCCGAACTTGTGCGCAAGAATCCCCCCTTCCCCCCCCCTCCTAAACTCCAAGCCGCAAGGATGATGATGGCCTTCGTAGCTACATGTCGTAGAGGCCCATACCCCCTTCCCCATGGGAGATATGGTTTCTTGTATTTTCCTTCGACTTCGACGAGGCCGACCGGCGGCTTTGATCTCGCAAGATCCGGGGAGCTAGGAGCGGCGGCCGAGGCGGCCGAGGCAGGCGAGGTTCCCGCGCTGTTGCCAGGAAGGCAGCGAACCAAACGAACAGTAGATAGAAGAACTATGCGATTGACAACTCACCGGCCCCGTCTGTCTCCCATGCTATAATTTCCCAAGAGCTTTGCGTAACAATACGCCAGATAATACTGTGCAGGCGGGCCCGGGAGAATTGTCCAGGTCACCACCGACTTGGAGCCCGCTCGCCCGGTTACCAAGATAGACGAGGAAAAGACGCACTTTGAGATCCCGCTACGACTTGGAGCAGGATGAACATGCCAGGAGCAGGATGAGGCAATCCGAAAACAGAAAGCATTCTGGATAATATCGAGTCCAGCCTTCATTACCGTCCTGCTCTAATATACCAAACGGATGACCGGGCACCCGCTGCAGTCAGTCTATCAACTAGGTGGTCGGTCGGTCGTATATAGCGTCTGTAGACACGACCTTTTTGAGCAGCCGGGGGTGTCTCTGTCTTGGCCTTCCCAGCCCTCGTCTATGTAGTTTCTGGTTTCATTTCATCATCACATCATGTCCCCGTCAAGAAACCGCCTTGCGGTGCTTCGCGAAGGCGGCCCCCGCCCCCCCTCCCTTCCTGGAAGACCAAGCCCGCCTAGACGGGGTAGTCGAGCTTCTTCCCGTCCAGCACCTTCCAGAACTCCTCGACCATCTCCCTCTGACCGGACGGCGCCCCCCGCACGGCGAGGTACACCCTCTCGTCCACGGCCGGCTCCCAGACGCCTGGGTTCCCGCCGGCCATGAGCCCGCCGGCCTCGGTAAGGATGCACCAGCCCGCGCACACGTCCCAGGCCCAGCAGCCGCCCTCCCAGTACGCGTCCAGCTGGCCCGCAGCGACGGCCGCGAGGTTGAGCGCCGCGGACCCCAGGGCGCGCATCGAGTGCACCATGGCGCCGCCCGACTCCTTGGTCGCGGCCAGCCGCTTGAACGTCTCGGCCTTGAGCTCGAAGTTGGGCCCGTCGCGCGTGGAGCCCCACTCGCAGGCCAGCAGCGCGCCGTCGAGCCCCTTGAGCGGGATCGGGCTGCGGGCCAGGGGCAGGCGCTGCGGCGCCCCGCCCGCGCGGCGCATGTAGCTGCCCTTGCCCTTGATGCCCGTGAACAGGAGGTCCTGGAAGGGGTTGTAGATGACGCCGACGACGGGGACGCAGCCGACGGACAGGCCGAGGGAGATGCAGGCTTCGGGGAAGGAGTGGACGAAGTTGGTGGTGCCGTCGATGGGGTCGACGACGAAGGTCGGCTCCGGGCCGAGACGGGTGCCCTTTGTGTACGTCTCCTCGCCCATGAAGGAGATGTCGGGGTAGGCGGACTTCAGGCGAGTCGAGACCATCTTCTCGACGGCCTGGTCGGTCTCTGTCACAATGTCGACGGCTGTTTGAGGGGGGGAAGAACGGAGTCCGGTGTTAGCCAAGTGGTTCGGAGGGTTAAACAAGACAGGGACGAATGGAAAAAGTATTGACTGGGGGCGCCAGAGGGGATGGGCAAGTTGGGGAGACTACGCACAGTTGAGCTTGGTGCCCTGGTCAATCGACGACGGGTTCGCGGACATGATCATCTTGCCGGCCTCGCTCGCGATGTCGACGAGGGTGTCGTGGATCTCTTGGAGGTTGAGGTCCGCCATCTTTGCCGCTGTTTCTGGCGGGTGCTTGGTTTCTATGCTCTCCAAAGGGGGCCGGGTGCGTTCGCCAAAAGAGGTTCGGTTGGTCAAAACAGCTTCTACCGTGCCGCAACTGTTCAATAAAGGAAGCTGTACAAGTGGTTGGTTGTCTCTGTCAATCGACGCTGGGGTCGAAGCTCGCTATATTTTTTTCTTTTCCTTTCTCTTTTTCTTTTGAGAGGGGTAAAGTAAGGAATTGAGCAGGAGAGAGGTGGCATGTAGAATGATGGCGGGGTTTTGGGGAGGAGGAAGGAATGAGAACATAGCTTGCGGGTGGTGGGTACTGTGGGGAAAGCTGACGATTGATTCCCTTTCCCTTCCATTCGCCTTCCACCACGGCGGACTTTCGTTTGGTTCAATTGCAATCGAGTGCACCCAAGTCCACGGCGTTGTCGTCACAGAAGCTCGGGCCGCGCGTGGTTCAGCGGGGGCGGACCAGGCTGGCGAACAGGGGTGAGGAGACCAATGACGACGAGCTTTGGACGCAGCATGCGGCGTCGAAACGAGGTCTTCGTTCCCAGAGGGGCTCGCAACAAGGCAATCAACATTGCACACAGCAGGATGACAGACAGACAGCCACTTGACGAAACTTAAGGCGAGAGGCGGCAAAAATATCAAAAATGATGTTCCCACACCGAGGTTCGAACTCGGGTCTCTCCGGAACGCTTCCATGGGATTGAAAGCGGAGTATCCTAACCACTGGACTATATGGGAATATGGGGTGGCTTGTTCCCGATCGGTTGTTGGTTGCAAGGGTGACCGAGTCTATGGTATATGACCTTAAAGATACTAGTGTGGTTACTCGAACCGAATCCTGCTGTGCGGACTGTGATCCAGTTCGTACCGCCGAATGCGGTAGTCCGCCCGGACTAACTGATCTGCCGTCGCCGACCCATTTTTAGACGCCCGAATTAGTAAGCTACCAGCACCAGACTACGTAAACATAGAATTCTCCGGTAACACTTCACACACTGCAAAGTCTACTGCGCTGTATCGCAGCCAGCGCCTCTTCAGGTGAATCCCATCGCGCCTCGATAATCGCGGGCCGCAACAAGGTCTCCATCATCGCAGCCTTGCGGCACACTGCCAAATTGTTGCCAGCATCGAGATCAATTAATTTGGGCAATCGCAATGTGATTGTGGCGGGTTACGGTCCGTATAGCCGCACTCGTGTGATACAAGTGGAGACGAGTGTTGAGATCGCCGAAGCCCGTTCTTCCGCTGGACTGTGTGGCGGAACTCTGGGAAATGCTTGGTATTCTGCTTCTTTGAATCGTCAAGTTTCATATCGGACCACTTCGGTCATTGGCCGACAAGATAAAACGCGTCTCATCAGTGGTCTAGGGAATCGATCCTATGGGCGACTAGTGTTGCAGAAAGAGGGAACCGTTTAGCGGCTCATTGTGTTTTTGTATATCGGCCGCTCATGGAAAAAAAGAAGCTTGGTAAAGCGAGAAACGATAGCAATCCTAACGCCCTTGGAATTGTATGGAACATTTCCCCCAATCGTGACATGTTCCTGTAAACCCTCCACCTTCCGGGCCCGCTTTCCTTTACTCGTTAGTAGCTTCGCCGCATTATCCCCAAAGACAGACCACTCTTCCCCATATTCCACCAGGGATATAATTCTGCCACCTAACCCAAGTGGAATCCCCAGGCTGGAAACAAGCCAAGCTTTACCGTAGGGCCTTCCCCCCACCCCCTCTTTAGTAAAGGTTTCGTATTGCGAGCTTCAAGGGCAGACTGCGCCCTTATACGTTCTCCCGGAAAATCGACCTCCGCTCTGTCGGGCTCTCTCCGTTGTCTTTCTGCTGCTGTTGCGATGCCGTGTCGACGATCGGCCGGGGACTAACACCGCGCAAACTGATATTACTCGGCTCCGCATCATCCTCGAACGGGTTCCTACTGCCCGACTTGTGCCCGCCTAGTCTAGCATCGTCATCGCCGAGCCGGCTGAGGCTCCGGCCCCGCTCCGGCTCGTCGTGGTGCACGCCCGGTGTCGCAGCAAGGTTCATGTTGTAGCTGTTGCCACCATCCGCACCGTTGCCACCACGATATCCGAGCTCCTGTTCCTCGTAGTTACCGTAAGGGCCATACGTCTCAGCCTCGTGGCCGACGCGCGCATCCCAAGCCTCGTCCGGGTCGAGTGGGCCGAAGCCGCGGCGGGGTGCGCCGGCGCCCGAGGGCTGTTCGTAGGCGCCGGCGGCGGAGCGGTTCCCGCGGTTTTTGAAAGAGCTAATTTTGTCGTTGAACCAGCCAGAAATGCCGCTTGGGGCGGGGCGCGGGGGCCCGTAGGACGGTGAGGTTTCGGATTTTCGGAAGGGGAGGTAGGAGGAGAGCGACGGAGGCGGGAGCTGTTCGTTCGTTCATCGGTCAGTATTGATCACCTGGGTGATGGCTCGGTCGTGAACGGGGAGAGTTTGCAACGTACGCCTAGTCTTCGAGCACGGAGCTGAGTGAAGATGACCCAGCCGACGATGCCGATGAGGACGAGGACCAGGATGGTGATGATGATGCCTCCGGCGACTGACACCATGTTTGCGATTCAATTGCGACGATGCAAGTCGGTCGGCTTTGATGGCGAGAGGAGAGGAAACAAGGGCTCGCAGCGCAACGTCGACGATGTGGTGACAGCGACCGTTTTGGTAGTGAGTGCGTCGGTGGTTGAGGATGTACGGCGGCGGCCGATGGAGGTCCGGTTCATGAAAGGTGGTCGAAAGTGCGTGGTGTGGTTTGGGTCGTCCGCCTTGGCTTGGTGGGCTGTGTGTGTGTGTGTGTGGGTGGGTGGGTTGTGCGACATACACGGACACAGCACACGGCACACGCTGTTGGGGGCTAGCAGCAGTACGCCTAGACGGCTGAATGGAAGGCTGTCCGAGAGAAGGTAACGCGAGAGAAAGTTAGGCGGAAGCCTGGACCCGGCAGCTGTAGTGAGGTGAATGGGGAGGAAGAGAAGACAGACTTGGAGAGACGGAAGGGAAGGACGACAGGCCCGTTGAAACCTTGTTTGACGAGAAAGCAGTGCGTCGCGTTACGCAAGGCAGCCAGATCAGCACCCAAGCGGATTACATGCACCTACTCGTTTGTTTCCCGTGTTGACCAAGGCAAGGCAGAAAAATGGCAAACAAGGCAGTGAGTGAGAATTGGATGACTGCAAGTCGCCCGGCGCAGAACGAAGAAAGTAGACGGAACAACGGGATAAGCTAAGCTTGCTGAACCCCAATCCCCCTCGGCTGCCAAGTGCCCATTGCCAGGCAGGTTACGGTAGGTAGGTTTCCCTCTACTCGAGAACGCTAGCTTCTCAAACCCGGCAGCTCGGTGTTTTTCTTTAGCGGACTGCCTGCCCATCATGTACGTACTGTACATCCTCCTGCTTGCTGTTGCTGCCCAATCAGCTCTGACTCTGTGCTGTTTTGTTCCCAAAGCCGAGCTGTGGGGGGAGTGAATACCGCGCTCGCGCGAGAGCTGGCGCTAGGATGCGCACATTCCACCCAAGAAACTTTTGTTTCTATCGGATTTATTTCGCAAACCGGCGAGAATAAAGTTAAGACAGCCGCCAAAGCAGCCCTCCACGTCGTCCTTTCTTTTCGTTGTTCTGTTCCTCGACCCAACGACGGGGGGGAGGTGGCCGGATTGGGAAGACAGCGTCCCGTCAAAATACCTAATGTGGGTAGGTAGGCAACACAGCAGGAGCTCAGGTCGATGACGTGCATCCTGCGCAGCGCTCGAGGAGCTCGAGTCCTTTTTTTGTATACGTACAGTAAGTACAGTACAGTACTGCCACGAGCCGACAAACGAAACCAGCTTTGAACCCCTGCCTTCCGTGGCCCAAACTTGGCCTGGGATGGGACCTTGCGTTATTCATAGCGTAGAAACGAACCCGATCCCCATCACCCTTGTCGTTCACTCACTCAATCACTCACCCACTTACTCAGTCGAGAGACGAAAACACCTCAACCAGATAGGACCTTAGATGGCATTCCGCACCTTGTACACATGCATGTATGGGGCTTGGCTTTTACGCCCTTGACGGCTGAATGGCTTCCAAATTACGAGGGGACGTCTCCATGAACCCCAAGGGGGCCAGGGGACGGCACAAGGGGGCCCGCCGTCGCTTCCGTCTACCAGACCCGGACTCCTGGGCCTGTCAACTGAAACTTTGGTGCCACCCGAAAGATAAACCCCCGACACTTAACATTGACACTCGATACGTTTTGTTCCCAACCTATCGCCAACACACAAAGTCATATCCTCTCAACTCTATTGAGGGGGGAGGAGGGACGAGATACCATCCATCATTCCGCCTCCCTCTAGATCTAGCTAGTCTAGCCGAAAATGAAAGCAAACCTAATGTGGGTATCATACGAAGCACTGGTCCCAGAGCCCTCCGCTCCTCGCGAACCCCAGGCTCTCCACAAACGAGCCGAGCTGGCACCGCCCAAGCTCGTCGGCGCCGCACCCGACCAGCGGCACCACCCGGTCGTTGACCAGCACCCGGACCATCTCCTCGTCCGTACCGTCGCATTTCATCTTCTCCACGTACATGCGCGCCGCGAACGGCACCGTCCAGCTCGCCGTGAACCCCTTGGTCTCCGACACAGACGTCCGCTCCGTCTTGGACAGCGGCTTCGTCTCGTTGTACAAGCCCAGAGCGCCGTAAATGCCCATCATGTCGTTGTCGTGGCTGAAGTCGGCGTACAGCTTCTTGTCGAGGGGGAACGTCGCCGGGTCCGTGTCGAGCGTCGAGTTGGTCGACGTGTGATCCACCACGGGCTGCCGCATCAGGCGCGCAATGAGCTCGTTGGTGAAGCCCACACCCTGCGTCGGTCCGAGCGGGTTGCCCGCGTTGAAGCCGTAGTACTTGCCCAGCGTCTCGTAGTACTCGAGGCTCTTCCACTCCTCCAGCGTGAAGAGATCGCAGAACTGCGACTGCGTGCCCTCCACCACCGTGTTGAACGGGCACAGCTGCATGAAGTTGATGGTGTCCGCCGCCGTCAGGTTCGCGCCGGCCAGGTTCTCGTTAAGCCGAGCCGTGATCGGGGGTGTGAAGATGTCACGCCACGGGGCCTGCGCATCGTTGCCGACGTTGGAGTATGCGCCATCCTCAAAGGCTGTGCAGAGGCCGTGGTCCAGCGTGTTGTTGGAGCCCTCGGCCTCGGAAATGATGGTCATGGCTTCCTTGATGCCGCCGCCGCCCACCTCGTGGCCATCGGCAATTTTGGAGCCGTAGAAACCTTGCGTCCAGTTCAGGCCAGATTCGACCACGCGCTCCTGGCCGGAAGATCGAATGAAGGGGTCGTTCACGGCGGCGAGCGCTTGGTAGCGTTTGTAGAATGCCACGCCCGAGTCGACAAGCTCCTTCTGGCCGAAAGATGTGAGCTGGTCGGCGCCAAGAGTGTACTCGTAGGTCTTGATAAACTCGTAACCTCTGCCGTAGCTCGTGACGTTGGCATGGATGCGGTCGACGAGCGCCTTGTAGCTGGCCGTCTTGCCGGCGGTAGGATCCCGAGCGCCGTGCCGCGACAGGACCTGTGCGAAGGTGATCTCGCAGCCGGGAGGCGTGGCTGCGCTGATCTCAGATGGCACCGAGAAGAAAGGTGAAAGCTGGCCCCAAAAATGCGAGATGGGTTCGAGATCGCTGGGCGGTGCCTGGCCGCGGACAAAGCTAACCGTGGCGTGAGTTTCCAGTTTCACGCACGTCAAGGTTCAGAGTGATGAAGACAGTACTCACCCGAAGGACAAGGCTAACGAGAGCAGGATGGCAGAAGCCATGGCGACGACTGTGAATATGAAGAGTCGACGTTTGTAGATTGGTATGCCGGTGTCCCGATGCTCATGAATCTCGTCCCTCTCGCCCTCCTCACCCGGGATGGCGTTGTATTTATGCGCCTTCCCTGCGATGAGATTCCTGATGGCCCCGTAGGCCGAACTAGCCAAATCGGAAACACCCATCTCGGAGATTTGAGTCAATGGACGACTATCCGTACTACCTAAAGAAATGAAAGAGGGTCTGATGGACGCCGAGTGGTTCTTCAGGTCAGTGAGCTTACGTATCGTAAGTGCTTTGTCAGGCACAGCATCCCTGTGCCCCTCCTTCCAGGGTGTGGCTGTGTGTAAGGGCGAGGTTAGGTATCGTCAAGGCAAATGAGAGGGAGGGGTTGGTTAGCTCTATATCACCAGGAGTAGTTGTGCGGGAGAAACCCTTTTTCCCAAACGTCTTTCGTCGTTTTTTTTTTCTTCTTTTTTTGTTTTTTTTTCGTTACTGCATCAATTTTCCCGGGAGGACGGTTTCAATACCAGATCGGAGCGGGAGTGATGTCAGGCGCATTAGTTCCAAACGCTACGGTGTCTGCCCGCCCACTTGGCCCTGTCACGTGGGCCGATGCAACGTCGCCATTATAGGGTGGATGGGGGCGCTAGCCGCCTTCCTAAATAAGCCTAGCCTAAGGTCTGTTACTGGCCTCAAAGGGATTAGATCGGCTACCAGCTTTGCTTGATATAAACCAGGATACGGTAAACAAGCTTCTGTAAGCTTTTTTTTGGTATCCCCGCACACATGCTGCACCTGCTAGGTAGCTCCGAAGGCGAAGTGCTTCCCTTATTCGATACAGCCGTCTAAAATCCCGTCTCGGAAGCCAAAGTCAGGGTACTACTAGTCAGTCACTCTCTATAGCCAGGTTCCATGTCACCGATTGGTTAAGTATGATGGGACAAGGTCGTGCCAAAGTCCACTTCAAGTCAACCACACACCAAATCTTATCCCATCGCAGGGGCAGGCTCTTCAAAGCTCTCCCGCCCCTGCTCCTCAATATCATGCTATGGCTGTGTGTCTTCTGAGTGATCAGACAAGTTAATAGTGTCCCCCCCCATGTCCACCCAAGAGTACCGTGCACACTAGTCTATACAGAGTCCAGTAGACAGTAGATTTAGTAATAACACAGAGGCAAAAGGGATAGTCTTGGCCCATCCCGACCCAGAGCGCAGCGTAGGAAGCAGGGTGGGTTGGTACTATTCTAACCCTCCCCGGCGGAGCCGCTTTAGAACTAAAAAATCTAAGAAAGCTGGATTTGAACCTGCAGCCTTTAGGATATGAGGTTTATCGCTGTTATCGTGCACAGTACTCTCGAGTGGACATGGGGGGGGGGGGCATTATCAGCTTGTCTGTAGACTCGTGTCTTCTGATCTTAAATACAACATCCCAGCTGACAACGCAAGAAGAAAGACACGGTTCATCGTCTTAGATGATCGAAATTCGAACTTTTCCAATGTTGCCAACTGCGGAACGGCCCTGGCTACATTCGCAGCCTACATGCAGTGAACCTTACCTATCTAGTCTAATGATACATATTCAGGCCCAGTACCAAATTACAACGTCATTATCAACGACACGCTTGGGTCGTTCGGGTTCCAGGAGATCTCGTCAGACGGATCCGAGGCGAGCTGTACATCTTCAAGAGAGAGAATGCGAATTCTTAAGTCTACCAATCTATTTTCAGACCGCAACAGAACCTCTCTCCATCTTCACACCTTTATCGGCAATCTGAGATGAACATTGCCCAAGCACACAGCAGACGGACCCAAGGTCGAAGCAACCCAGTCGCAGCAAGGTTTAATAGCAGCGTTAAGTGCGAAGAACCTTTCTACCCTGCTCGAAAAGCTTGATGTCATTCTTCAACATCTCACGTGTGGCCTTGCTCACAGCGTCCTCGCCTGCCACCATTTCCAACTGTTCGGCCGTCATCTTAAGGATACGGTTCGAAGACAAGATTCTCAGAGGGCTGGTCTCGGCACTGAGAAGGAAGTAGTCGATGACCTGAGCGCAAACGGTATCAGAAAATCGAGCGCTGGCGATGTCGTAGTAGCACTTCAGGACGTCATGGATGGTGTTGCACGTTTCGCTCATTCTTTCGGTACTGGTCGGTTCCCTCGTCAGTTCGCTATAACAGACCTTGTCTTCGTCAGGTTCATAGCCAGCTTGCTTGTGGCCTTTGTACTTGATTGCAGATCTCTTGGCCTTGACTTGACCCAGTGCTCTGTCGAATGCCGGGTTGTACGTGATGGAGCGGCCCTCTCGCTCCACGTGGATAAGTAATCTCGCCTGTTGCATGGCCTTCTGGTAACACTTGACGAGGTCCTCAACAATCGAGGACCAAAGCGCCTCAAGGACCGGTCCATCCCCGCAGGCCTCCTTGACCACCCCGTAGATGAAGTGGTGGACAACAAGGATGACGTTGCTGACGTGGGCCAAAGTAACGGACTCCCACTTCTTCGACTGCTCCTTGAACGCTGTGGGGAGCAGGTGGTTGTTGACCTTGGTGAATTATCAGTGTGCCGATCAAGCATCACGCAGTTACTCAGCGATGGTCACTTACAGTGCCCAGCTCGAAGCCACGAGATGCAAGGTATAGCTGTTCGAGGTGCTTCATGATGTTCTCGTTTTGAGGTGCCGCACACTTGCAGGGCTCTGACAAGACTGCATCCAATTCACCGAACTCGTCCGGCGGTATCACAAACTCTATGTCGTACAGGTCATTTCTGCTGACATCCTCGTCTTCGTCCTTGGCGCCAATTTCGTTGCCTTGATTCTCGATCTTTTCATCTTCATCCAGATTATCGAAGCGGCGGGTATGAGCTCTGTTGTAGAACATCAGAGAGAAAGCCGAATTAGCCTCACGAATCCGGGTCGCCAGGCGATATTCGGAATGTTTCTCAAAAAGGGTATCGCCGGTGTAATAGGCGTTCAGACTGAAGTCCCGGAGCTGAACGTACCGACTGACAATCTTGCCGAGATAGACTCTCTGCTCGTCAGCCGTGGACCGGGACTGGCCCAGAGCCTCGAGTTGAGCCTTGGCGTCAGTGAGGCGTTCGTTGATCTCACGGCGCACTTTGGGAAATTCGCTCTTGGTACGGTCCATAAGGAGCTCACGCAAGCGATTTCGGAGGGCTGGGATTCCCAGGCGCGACTTGTCGAGCTTGCACCAGGGGTCCTCGCTGAAGAAGACCTTCTCCTGATAATCCCGCTCCTCTTTGCTAGACGAGGTATCGTCGGCGCCGCGATTCTTGACAACGTAGTAGCCCAGCTGGATATCTCGTCTCTTGCCCCTGATCAGATCCATCGCCGCTTCACGTATGGCATTCTCGTTGACGAGATCAGGCTTGGTCAGGACGCCCAGGGTGCGCTTGCCCTCGGGGTCTGCCTCGGCAGCATAGGTAAGGATGGCTTGGGTTGCAACATCCACGTTGCATGGGATCACGGCAAGTATGCTGGATGTACAGATTATTAACTGGAGGATTCCGACTTGCGAAGCGACTTACATCGTTCGGGAGTCCTTGATGTAGTCCTTGACCATGGAGTTGACCAAGGCAACGTCGTTGGCAGTCGAAACGCCTGGAAATGCTGATTAGCATTCACACTTGTAACCTATGCTAGGGAATTCTCACCATTTTGAGCATTCTCAAATATGCCTGTGTTGCGGAATGATCAGCAGCTTTCTTGCATTCCCAAAACGCTAGTCGACTCACCGGGCACATCAATGATAGTCAGATGCTCTTCGTCAGGACCGCATATCTCAACACGTAAAACATCTTTGCTGAAAGCAGCTCCCCCAGAGGAACCATCGATGGAAGTCTTCAGACCCATGACATTTGCGGCCTATGAAAGCGGTCAGGAGGTGATATTTGCATGGAAGAATATCAATGGAAAGTGGACGTCACGCCTAAGGTGACCAGTGTGGAATGAAGCGACGACAAAAAGGGGGCTGTGAAGACGATTGGCCTACTTCCTTGAGTACATCTGCAAACTCTTGACCCTTCAAGTCACGAAGCTCACGCCGGAACGACTTGGCAAGCTCGGCTCTCTCTGGGGTCGCCTCGAACGGCTGGATTGTGACGATGATGCTTATCGTGGCTTCTCGGCGGCATACGATCTCGGTGGCATGACGAGTACAGAGACCCACGGAACGAGGGAAGTAGTACCCCGTGAGAGACTCCAGAACACTGGATTTGCCGGAAGACTGATCTCCCACCACAACAAGCTGTGAAATAAAGGTTAGTAAGTGATTATATATACACATACAACCCATGCCATAGCTACTTACCTGCGGAAGAGCAACTTGCTTAGAGATTCCGAGTTCCCTCAACTTGTCAATCTTGTCGAGGAGGTTCCGGTTACCCAGACCGGAATTCTGACTCTTGGACTGTACGGGTGCCATGATTGTGTCAATGGGTGATGACGTTCTGAAGTGATGTGGGGTGTTGAATGCGAAATCAGAAACGATGGTGAAAACTTGAGGGAAGTAAGGAATGGCGGGAAACCCTGGAAGAGAAGGAAAGAAGGGGTGGCATATAAGCAGATTTTTTTCTCTCGTGTGTGGTGACCGCCCGGATTTTGCTGCAGGTATCAAGGCGAATTCAATCAACAGACCAAGAGAGAGGTGTGGGCAAACGACGGTGACAAGGGTGTCGGGAAGAGCCTTGACTGTAAGAACAAACAGAGCTCCTCCACTCTGCAGCAGATTGGTAATTTGGACCAGTTTTCTGGCGTCTACCTCATGTATAGACAGCTTCGAGAAATAAAGCACAAACACTGCCCTAGGCATGTATCAAACGTAGAATACACATCATAAGACGGATACATGCCCCAAAAATCAAGGCAAAAGATGCAATTTGACGTCAATTAAAAATGATAGCCATTGAGGGTGTTCAACCAGAAAGGAATGTATTGCAGGATGGGCAGGGGAACAATGAGTGAATCTCAAAGAAGGGACGGCATCTTTCAACGCCCTAGGGGTCAGGGTTATGCTAGCGAATCTACGTGGCATCAACAAGTGAAACTGACTAAAGACTGGCACATATGATTATTTTACAGAGTCAGAAGAAAGCATAATACTTAGAAGTGATTGTGTTGGCTATAATGAACTGATAGAAAACGAAATAGGTACAGTCAACTGGGGAATTGCTTATGAAGATTAGCTTTCATGACAGGCTCCTTCCTCCCTACGAAAGTAGCGATGATTCTGCCTCTTTCAAGGTCACAGTTAATTGAAACAGCTTGACATTAATATGATCACTCGCGTCTGGCATTCCATCACCGCCTGTATTTCTCTGCTTCCAAGCTATATCGATGATCAAGATGACCAGGACTACACTGGGTCATGTGAAGCTGGACTACGTAAGGTTCAAGACATTCCTTAAACCAGCGCCTGTGAATAACATTCATTTCTCTTGGAACCGGGAATAAGCCTTCCTCCACGTTTGGTGTCTTGAGTGGCGCACTTCCCGCCGGCCAAGGTCATGATTTCTGTGTAGCGGTGCTGAGTGGCTGCGGCTTTGCTGTGAGGGCGCGTAGTGTCAATTGCTTTTGGCACCAATTCGTTTAAGATCTAAGCTGTCGGGATCTATCAGCAAGAGCTCAGTGAAAGATGCAGCGTGATTACTAAATACAGGACGTGGCCTAGAGTAGCTAATACAGTGTGGCCGCTGCCTTCAACTACAGGAATCTGGTTTCTGTAGATAACAATACCAGAGGGAGATAACGTGTTCAATACAAAGAAAACAGACCACCTCTTTCTTGTATACAATGGGTAAAAAAACTTCTTAAAGAAACCTTCTTCATCAAGAGGAGTGGCCGCTACATAAGATGTTCGCATGATGTTAACAAGCATTGGCCCATAAAGTTTATATGGCGTGTGAGCGCTCATGAGACATACAATAAGCGGTTTACATGACATCCTATAAAAGAGCACTTAGCTTTGAAACGTACTCTAGGCATGGTGACTTCAGCAGTTTGAACAAAAATCATGGCATGATGGAAAAAGACATACAACACCAGGTATTCGCTGATCGTCACCGACTCAACTACTAATCCGGCCCTCACTGGCTTATCTATGGGAGAGCGGACGGGATCCCGAGTTCTCCAGTGGGTATGGTCGTATGTGATGGAGCAAGCTGTAAATGCTTCTTATGTAGTCTTTACAGCGGCTGAGATGGTATGGGCGTGGCGAGGTGAGATGAGCGCTCTGGGCTTGGTGGCTACTGTAGAGAGCGACAGGCATTTGAATTCGCTTTTTAAGCTCTGTCAATACGGCATATTGGCCAATCATACACGGAATGCGCAGGTAGGAACGTGTGCAAGAAAGGTGGTCTCAAGCCTAAGGATGTGTAGGAATTGAACCATATGGCTCTGACCACAACGTCCTCATGAGGAAACAAACGGCCACTGCGCCGGGTAGGTTGCTGTTCACGGGAGTGACAAGAATGTGTGCTGTATGAAGATGTAGAACCTACACTCTTCATGGAACCTCTTGTGTTTGTTTCTTTGCCAAACTGTTCTGCGCACGAGACTTCGCAAGGTTGAAAACCGTCAACAAGACAAGTCGTGTGTTGTCGGAGTCGAGCCCGGTTCTCCAACGGCGAAAAATTGTTAGTGCAGCACACACCGTGCCCGCAACCACCGCAACTCACCCACTCACTCACTCACTTGCAGCCTCTCACAACCCCATCTCACTCTCACCAGCGATCTCGGTCTTATACATTATGCCAACTGAGCTTGGTGGGTTAAACATACTTGGAAACCTCCTGCTCTAACCACCCGCCCTTGCATCGGTCCTGGGCTCAGATAACCGATTCGCGATGGCCGTTAAAGCCCTCATCTCAAGCCTTGAGGACGAGATCCTCGACCCGGAAGAGGGTAAGCCCATCTCATCCCCCCACCAAATGGAACAATAACTCACATGCCTCTTCTACTTCTCTTACTCAGAAACATTTTTCCTCTTCTCCCACGAGTTCCGTTCCTCGAACCTGGGCATGATCGACCCGAAAGCCGCTGAACTCTCGTTGACGATTGCCGGCCGCGACTTCACAATCCATCAGTCCCCTACCATCCTCTCGTCAACGCGCGCTGGTGGCACCACTGGGGCCGGTGAGTATCCTTATTCACTACTTATAAAGCTTCCGAGTCCCGGCATTTCTGAATCTCTTTGCTTCGTACCTCATTCACTCGCTGTCTTTCGTCTTATCCATCTCCATACAGACTAACACCCTGCACGCAGTCCTCTGGAAAGTGACGCCCCTCTTCGCAACCTACCTTTCCTCCCCTTCCTCCCTGTTCAACCCAATCTTCCGCTCTTCCTCCACGATCCTCGAACTAGGCTGCGGCATCTCCCCCCTGACAGCACTCCTCCTCGCCCCGCGCGTATCCCGCTACGTCCTCACAGACCAGCCCTACGTGGCGCGCATAATCCAACAGAACCTCGAGGCGAACCCCCTACCAGAGTCCACCTCGTCCTCATCCTCAAAACCCTCCTCGTTCTCCTCCCGCCGGAAAAGGGCTAGCGCGGCAAACCCGTCGTCGTCATCGTCAGGCCCCGGCCAGGATGCCAGAGCCGACAGCCCCGGTGTCATCGCCTTCCGTCCCTTCGACTGGGAGCTCGACACCCCGGACCCCTCCCTCACGGGTTCCCCCGCCGCCCGCAGCTTCGACGCCCTCATTTGCTGCGACTGCATCTACAACGAGGCCCTCGTCGGGCCCCTCGTCTCCGCCACAGCCGACCTCGCCCACCTCCGCCTCCGCGATCAGGAAGACCACGCCTACGCCCGTGACGCCGCGGGCGCCACTGGGGACCATCACAACCACTACTCAGCATCGTCCACAACGACAATGACGACGGACCGGTCCGAGCCGTGCGTCTGCATTGTGGCGCAGCAGCTCCGTAGCCCCGACGTCTTCGAAGAATGGGCCAGGGCCTTCCACCGAGACTTCCGCGTCTGGCGCGTCCCGAGCGCCCTGCTGCCCGAAGGGCTGAGAATTGAGTCCGAGTTCGTGGTTCACGTCGGCATTCTGAGAGAAGCCAGAGTGGACTTTTAGTTCCCGTCGCTTTACGTATTTTACGGCAAGGAACTGAACATATCATAAAAAACAACGACATCACCATTGCCGGAGAGGGAAACGAAACCCAAATCTCGCAAAAGCCCCTTCTGTCTCACTTTTTTTGCGGCTACACATCTAGCAAGCTTTGTATAACTTTTCCGGCATCAGCCTTGAGTTCTGAAGAGCCGCCTTTATACCATTTCCCTTTGAATCTCTCGATTTCCCGAATCACCGCTAGTGTGGCGAGGAGACATGTCTGAACATGCCAAAAAAAATAAATAAATAAAAATTGAAAGCCGTAACCCAAACCGCATCGTAGATACGTCACATGATAATAACTCCCTTTTCAAATACAAAAAGCCAATCCCGTTTGCTTTCAGTATGAGCCCTTTACCACTCGAGGGGCTCCGTCTTGGTCTCGCCCCGGTTCGTCTTGGGAACGGGGACAGCCTTGGCGAGGAGACGACCCGTCTTGGGGTCTCTCTTAAGGTAGCCCGTGCCGTCGAGCCAAGGGGTGATCTGGGACATGCGGCGCTCGTACTCGGTGATCTTGTCGTTCTGCTGCATGGTCAGACCAATGTCGTCGAGACCGTTGATGAGGCAGTGTTTCCGGAACTCCTCGACGTCAAAGTCGGAGAGAACATTGCCGTCGGAATCCTTGATGACCTGGTTGGGCAGGTCGACCTCGACTTCCTTGCCGGAGCGCGCCACGGCGGCAATCGCCTCAAGCTTCTCTTGGTCGGAGATGATGATGGGCAGCATGCCGTTCTTGAAAGTGTTGTTGAAGAAGATATCGGCGTACGAGGGCGCAATGACACAGCGGATGCCAAAGTCGTTCAAGGCCCAGGGGGCGTGTTCTCTTGAGGAGCCACAGCCAAAGTTGGGGCCGGTGACGACAAGGATCTTGGCGTGGCGGTACGGTTCCTTGTTTAGGACAAAGTTGGGGTTTTCGGAACCGTCCTCGTTGAACCGCAGAGCGAAGAACAGGGCGTTGCCAAGACCAGTGCGCTTGATAGTCTTGAGGAACTGTTTAGGGATGATGGCGTCGGTGTCGACGTTGGACATCTCCAGAGGGGCGGCGATGCCCTTCAGGTTGGTGAACTTGGGTAGACCGGCAGAGGTACCGGCTGAGACGGAGGTGTTTGTGTGGGGCTCGCTGTCCTGGGGCTGGTCGGCAATGGCGTCCTTCTCCGAGTCGCTCTCCAGTACCCGCTCGTCCACGTGGGGCTCGCCGGCGGGGGTGATGGCGGCCTCAATGTGCGGGCTGGCCTTGTATCCCTGGAGCTTCCTGACATCGGCGAGCTTGCCGACAATGCCGGCGGCGGCAGCCATGACGGGAGACATGAGATGCGTCCGGGACCCTGCCCCCTGGCGACCCTCGAAGTTTCTGTTGCTAGTGGACGCGCATCTCTCCTTGGGAGCGAGGATATCAGGGTTCATGCCCAAGCACATACTGCAGCCGGCCTCACGCCACTCGAAGCCAGCGCTCTCAAAGATCTTGTCCAGACCCTCCTTCTCTGCCTGAGTCTTGATGAGACCAGAGCCGGGGACGACCATGGCGCGCTTGATGTTGGCGGCGATCTTCTTGCCCTTGACAACTTGGGCGGCGGCGCGCAGATCCTCGATGCGGGAATTAGTGCAGGAGCCGATGAAGACCTTGTCGACGACAATGTCCTCCATGGGAGTCCCGGGGGTCAGGCCCATGTACTCAAGCATTCTGCGGCCGGCGGCCTTCTTGTTCTCGGCGGAGAAGGTCTCGGGATCGGGGACACAGCCGGTGATGGGGACGACGTCCTCGGGGCTAGTACCCCAGGTGACGGTGGGGACGATGTCCTTGGCGTCGATGAAGACGTCGATGTCGTACTTTGCGTCGGCGTCGGACTGCAGAGACTTCCAGTACTTCACGGCGCGATGCCACTCGTCCGAGTTGTACTTGGGAGCGAGGGGGCGGTTCTTGAGGTACTCGAAGGTAATGTCGTCGGGCGCGACCATGCCGGCTCTCGCGCCACCCTCGATGGACATGTTGCAGATGGACATGCGGGCCTCCATGCTGAGGCTGCGGATGACGGAACCGCAGAACTCGATAACGGCACCGGTACCGCCGGCGGTGCCGATCTTGCCAATGGCGTGCAGGACAACGTCCTTGGAGCTAACACCGGGGGCCAGCTCTCCGTCAACCTGTATCCGCATGTTCTTGCTCCTCTTGGTGATCAAGCACTGGGTGGCCAGCACGTGCTCGACCTCACTGGTGCCGATACCGAAGGCCAGGGCGCCGAAGGCACCGTGGGTCGAGGTGTGACTGTCACCACACACAACGGTGGTGCCGGGGAGGGTGAAGCCCTGCTCAGGACCAATGACATGGACAATGCCCTGTCGCTTGTCGCCGAGGCCAAAATATGTCAGGCCGAAGTCCTTGACATTCTCCTCGAGGGTCATGCACTGGATTCGAGAGTCCTCCTCGGCAATGAAGGAGCCGATGTCCTTCATGCCTTTCCGTGAGGAAGTGGGAACATTCTGGTGGCAGGGGTCAGCGATTGCGAGTGACGGGGAGGGGGAGGCAACTCCGTCTGCATCACGCAGTCAACTTACGTGGTCGGTGGTCGCGAGAGTGCAATCCGGTCGGCGCACTCTGCGGCCGGCGTTCTTCAGACCCTCAAATGCTTGCTGCAGGTCCTTTGTTAGCGAGCCGCCATGGTGGGGTCGGCCAACCGACGTCATCCACGTCCGAGGGAACTAGTCGGCGACATACAGGAGAGGTGACCTCGTGCACGAGATGTCTGTCTGTAATTCGGCCATGGTTAGCGAGCTGATTACCTAGAAGATGGACCCTCGTCGCAGGCGGACTGACTTACCAATGTACAACAGAATAGTGCCGTCCAGCTTCTCGTCCACGACGTGGGCCTGCAGGACCTTGTCGTAGAGAGTCTGCGGGTTACCTTCGGCAACAGGCATTGTGTGCGACTCGAAGGGGAAAGGGTTCAAGTTCGAAAAGCTAATCAGCCGTCCTCACAAGTAGGGACCGTTGGGTAGGTACAAAGGGGGTTTCCCAAGCTCCTTTTCAAAGTAGGCTTCTGGATGGGTGGAAAGTCGTAATTTCAGGTGAGGAAAGGCGTGAAAGGGGGTGAAAGGGGGAGAAAGGGGAGGGAGCAAGCAAGTGAAAATCCTGAGTCGGAGGGGAGAAGTGGCAGGTTGTGGGGGAAAGAGCCGCTCAATATGTATCGGCCGGACCGGGAGGCCTTCGTCCCCCTCCCCTCCTTGTACTGCGTAGGGATGGTGAGTGTCAAGTGCCTTAAGATTTGGTTGCGGGACACTCAATCAAAGAGGATACACGGGCTTGGAAACTTCGGAAAGCGAGGGGCAGCAAGGAAGAGACACACACACGACTCTGGAAAAGTGCCAAGCGCAAGCAAGTACCTCGCGGCCATCCAAAGGGTGCAGTGTACCTATCCGTCTAAGCTTTGGGCTGAGCCCCTCCAAGCCTTCCGATCATCGGAGGCGCCAGTCCCAGCTAGAGGCGAGTCCGGTCGCCGGAACGCGGGGTACAGCGCCCTGATTTGCAAATGAGGCCTGCGGATTGGCCCGCCGCCGCAAAGGTGCCCTGGTCCCGAGGGCCCCACTCCACAGCAGTCGAGCTTCTTGAGAACCTTCCAAATACAACCATGAAAGTTGTTGACTCTCGCCATCGGTCCGGCGGTGGTTGACGAAACCAAAGAAGAGGGGTGATGAATCCGCCCATTCTCTGGCCCAAGGCCTAGGCCTACGAATCGCCCTTGGCTACCTGGTGCTGCGCGTGACCGTGACTCTACTGGCTAAGCTAAGTCGGTAGGTATAAGTGGCTGGCTGGCTCTGACGTTTCGTGGAGAAAATGTGAAAAAACGAAACCCACACGCTTGGTTACCGCAATCTGACGAGTAATATGGGCTCGAATGGGTACAGCGTCGCCCAAAACAGCAAGTTGTTAAGCACCGGTGCCCGTGCCCGCCACATATGCCTCTGGCACCAATGTGACCCAGACGCGTCTCCGTTCTGTTCCCGTGTTTGCCGTCCTGATCTTCAGTTTCTTGTCCTTGCTGCCGTTGCCGCTGTGATGACACTTGGGTACTGTTACAAGACGGGTCCCTCTTGAGGTCGCAAACGACACGGCCGGCAAGACGGATGGCCCTTATGTACGTGACTTCGTTTGCCTTCCAATAGCTCAATCTTAACCCACCAAACCTTCCCGGCACTTTTCTCGGATCCGAGCCTTGACACTGTCAATTGTCTCGACTCTTGTAAGCGCTCCGTCGACCAGCCCCAGCCTTCAATGTATCGGGCCAAGATATCATCTCATTGAACTGGAGCCCGTCGAGAGCCAAGAGGCCAACTTGTCTTGTCGATCATGCGCACACAGGGACACTTTACAACCCACGCCCGGCACCCGCTTTGCCATGACCGAACTTTGATCGATAGGGAATATCCATAGTTACCAAACCATACCAATATTAATGTTGTATCCGTCCTCGTATCAGTCGACTTTGCGCTTTCGGTCTCCTTATCAGACATCCACCCCCCTTCCCCCTACCCAGCCGATGTACGGCGGCGTGCGTCCATAGCGCCTCGCCCAATCGAACCCATATCCCCACAGCGCCGATCGGCGGTTGGTCGGGCTCGAGCGCCAAGCTTTCCTCCACGGCCTCCCCCTTTCGTCACCACCCCGTTATCAGGAACCGAGAATCGCAATGAAGCCTACCAGTATTATGTGCACCATTCGTAGCAGCAATGCGATTCCTTGCGCAATCCGGACTGCCGCCGCCAATAACGTGAAACCGCTGCCCAGCGCAAATAAGAACAATGCAAAATCCCCCCATGTTGATTTGTTGCCATCAAGTCGCTTCCTGGCAGGCGATGTCGGATCAAAGCATGGCGAGATCACCGTCCAGTACCAGCGAGCCAACATCCCCATCATCTGCTTGCCGTCAGTGGCGCACTTTAGCACATGCTTGTTAAACGTCTCTCTTCTCAAACGACCTTCGATGCCGCCGCCTTCGGAACCCTTGCTCGCCGGGGCATTTGACGTGCTGTAGCCAGCTTTCGACCTGGCATGTCTGGTCGATGACAATAGTTTGCTTGTTGTCCGCGTGGTCTGCCGATTGACGCTGCCCCCTGTTCCGACAGAACACAGCTCCGAGCTTTGGCCGCTGTTCGTCTCTGCGGCCTCCATTGATTTTTGTTGGCTCTTGCCTAAACGCCTCATCAAGTTGAAGCTGCTCCGCAACCTCCTAAACGGAACGTAATCGGCGTGGGGCTTCCTGAGGCTGAGAGGCAATGCCCGGAAATCTTCCCTCCCCGGAAAAGTCCTCTTTCGAGTTTGCGCCATCTTGCTGCCCGAGTTGGCCACCGCGGCCCGCGCCGCCTCCAACGAAACCGCCTCGCTTTGGTCCCACTGCGTCGTTTCCTCCCGTGCGTTTAGGGGTGATGTAGACGTGGACATGTGTGACGTGACAAAGTTGCCCCTCTCGTCCTTGGCGAGCTCCTTGCCGGAGAAATTCTTCACAAAGGACTTCCTGACCCCCTTCTGGATCGCAGCCTCTTGGAGCCGAGTTGCTGCCGTAAGACTGCCTTTTGGTACTAAATTCTCCGTCCGCCTTTTGACGTTGGCCAATTGATGGGCTGATTCGGTCGAGATGTCCTCTGTCGATGTCGACATTCGATCGTCGTACTGTCGACTTATGTGCCGATTCTGCAACAAGCTCCAGCTTTCGCTGCATTTCTTCTGTAGTTGACTCTGCCGCGGACTCGATAGAAAACGACCCTGGTCGGACCCAATAGTGGTGGTGATGGGTGTGGTAGCATGTCTTGCCGTCGGATCCTTCTTCTCTCCTTGAGCTCCGAAGGACGGCAGGCTTTCCTGGCTCTCTGCCGCTCCTGGAGACATCCACTGGTTCATAAAAGGCTTTTCTACCAGACTTGAATGTTTGTTTATCTCCCCTAAGCTGTCGCTCATCAACTTGCTGAAGGCATGTTTGGTCATCGATCCTTCGATCCATGTGTCTAGAGCCACCGAGGGACTCTGGAACATCAACGATGACTCGGATGGGGATGTGGTCACTGTAGGTCGTGGGCTGCAATTCCCGACTGCGTTCCGGATGTTGATTTTTGACTGGCGCTCTCTCATGAACTGGCAAGTCACTCGTAGGGGCTGGCTCTCCATAACCTCGGTGGAGGCCAGGACCTTGATCTCCTGGCGCGCTTGCATTGCCTGCTTCATAACTTGCGGGCGGTCTGTTTCCAGTATTTGCAAGACCTGTTGTGGCAGCTGGTACGTTTCCGGCGGGATATAAATCCTCGAAGAGTGCTTTTGAGTCGGTCTGGCGTTTACCGACATTGGCCTCAAGGGGTATGTAAGAGCTTTGCCCTGGCTGGGACAGGGTATCCTTGAGATTGCCTTGGTTTTGTGTTCTTGCCGGTCCGTCTCGGGGCATACCGACTTCGTTGGGGTGGAAACGGCTTGGAGTACTTGCCGGCCTCCTGGTTCTGCCTCCTCCGGGCGTCGCTGGCCTAAAAAAGAGACCATTTTTCGAGAACTTTTTGGAAGCGGGGGCAACGCCTTACCCAAGGCGCTACCTTCCAGAGCTATCTGCTCGGAAATGGGCGACGAAGGTGTGATCTGGACTTGCGGGCTGCCTGCGATTGTATTTTGTGCTGGTTTCACTACACCAGCTGGAGCCGAATAGTTGCCATTATCAAGCTTGCCATCGATCTCGGGGGTAACAAAGGATGATCGTCTTCGTTGAGGCGTTCGAATTACCGTGTTAGAAGAATCGGCGCCATCATCCTCCGAGATCAGGTACTTTGGTAAGTGGGACATGGGATTCGTGTAGCCCATCTCCGTTTGATGAAAGTGCTGTACTTCTTGTACCTTTGGCAAGTCCTGCCCTTGATCTTTGGCCTCTGACCCTAGAAAGTCTGTCAGCATGTGTCTTTGCAAAGCAACGGTCAATCCAACATGTATAACCCAAAGTGAGACTTGGGAATAATCAAGTAGGGGTCCATCATTTAAGCTGTTCACGAAGGCCGAAAATCCAACTTACCACGAGTAGAAATGCTCTTTATTGACTGTGCGATGGGGCTAAGAATTGGTCCCTTCGCAGAAGACCACTGTTGTCTATGTCGTTGCCACCGAATGGTGCGCTGCGCTTGTCGTATGGCCTCCTTCTCTTGGTCTTTTCGAGAGAACCGCTGCTCCTCTAGGTGCTGAAGCTTTCGGGCCACTTCTTCTGTTAGCACTGCGGCACCTCTGCGACTGTTTGTTGTTTTAGTCTTTGTTTTTTTATGCGAGTCCAGTTTTTGGTCAATGGCTAAGGATGCAGAGCTGAAACTGGTGGTCGAGGGCGTCAGGACGTCTAGCTCTCCGGTGGTTGGGTTAATCCCTGTGACACCAAGGTAGTCACCGCTCTCCTTCAACGTTCTCCTCTCCAACTGAACCAAGCGTCGCTCTTCAAGAGTCTTCTCCCCGTTTGAGGTTGTAGTATTGGGGATATGTGCTATGGTCCTAGCTCTCCGTCGGCGAGGCTCACGTTCAGAAGAAGGGTCCCTTGGTGGACGGGATATGTCTCTTGCCGTATTCCAGCGAGTTATACGGTCAGAGCCTCGTCCGATTCGAGGTGGACTGGTGGGAGAGTGACCTGATCTGGAACGGTTTTTCTCGGTGGTCTCCTAGTATCCTTGGTTCCGATGGGTGCTACCCTTTTCAGCACGGCGGCTTGGTAGAACGGCCTTCAGGCGAGAACTCAGTGTAGATTTCCGGCCCAACTCATCAACTTGTCGCTCTTCGGAACGATCAGGGACGAGCCGAAACGACAGAGCTTCGGGTTGTTGGTCGATGGCTGAAGCGGAGTGGGTTGACATTGTTCGAACCGAGGACCTGATGAGATAGAAATATTACGGCGTAAGATAGATAGAAAATAAACAAACAATTTCTGATGCAAAAAAGCCGACGATGTCGTTGCTAGGGATCCCGCACGGCGGTGCAAGAAATTGCGAATGACAGGTTGCTGCTGGGAAGGGGACATCCTTGTCAGGGAAGGGACAGTAATCTTGGAGAGCCAATCTCAGTCGAGCGCAATGGCTCAAAAAGTTGCTGCTGCCATCAACCCGTTTGTTGTTTTGACAAGTGAATAAACAGCCTGCATTTCTAAAAGTCGGTTTTCAATGCCTGTTCTTCTGATATAAGACCACGTCGACTGAAGTCCTCTTCGTCTCCGTCATTCTTCACCTTCCGTCAGCTGTGGTTTCGCTCTTGACGTATATGATGGAATTCCATCTTTTTGGGGACTTTCCTCCTGAGATTCGGGTGTTGATTTGGCAGTTTGCTATCCCCGAGAACGAACCAGAAGTTTGTATCGTGCAGCCAGCATGCGACACGCCCCAGTCCTTACTTGTGTATACCGCATTCCCGGTGCTGATGCACGTATGTCACGAGTCTCGTCAGCTCGTGCAGAATTCGCGATTAAGTGGAATCAACTTCATATCCTCGAAATCAGCCAACAGTACAGCTGGATGCCTCGTTCCCTCCCGCCGCTTCCGGCCAGAATTGGACACCCTGTTTTGCCCAATCGGAGGCCCTGCCGCACTTGAAGATATTTCTAGCCAAGATGAACTCGAATCAATCCTCCAGGAAACACGCTACTTGGCCGTCTCGGGTAAAAAGGAGTATATCAACCTATTAGCATGGATCTTGCTGTTCCATTTCCCGAAGCTAGAGACGCTATCCGTGGTTGTCGGCGATATGTCTCCTGACTCATGCTTCGAGTCCTGCTTTGACGCGCCAAAGACTAGATGCAAGTTAAGCAGAATATCGGGCGAGCCTGCTTGGTCAATGGTTCGGGGGGCGAAGCAATCCGTCGATGTTGGAGTCCCGGGGCCAGTTCATTTCTCAGATTGCATGGGGCACTACACCCATGAACTTGAGAAACTCATGGCGGAATGTGTCGAGGACATGGAAAGAACCATACGAAAGTCGCATCCATGGTGGGATAATGAATCAAATGCTGTCAGGAAGGTCAAATACTCGGTACAGGCGTTCGTGGAGTGCTAGGCAGATGGTGCTTTCGGGCTAAGCGAATTTGTGGAAGAAGGCAATACATTAACGGCGTAACCTACAAGAAGCTGAGAAGTATGCCAGTATATTATATAATAATCAGAATCTGCCCCGTGTGGCGAGCTTAGACATACCCTATTTCTTGTTCCAGATATTAGCGGAAAACATTGAGTTCCCAGCGCCTTCCTTTCGCTTCTTTATCTCGACGATTCTGAACTTGCTCCTTCCAATGGGGGCTCGCTCAGTTGGTTTCCGGCACCTACCCAATGTACCCAGGTAGGTAAGGTAGGTAGGCACCTAGGTAGCCTTTACCTGCCTCCTTCCCTCTTCAAAGTCAGGCCTCTCGCCAAGTCAGGCCTCTCGCCCTGTGCACTCTTTAACTTCTCGCCTCATCGCCACCTTCCTGCTCTAGGCATCAGCCCATCGTGTACATCCCGCATGGGTACCCTAGGTAAGCACGCCACTATGACAAAGCCACCAAGTACAGCTACGGCCATGGCGCTCTCAAAGCTAGCTTGACCTCACGAGGAACTCCAACAGATCATCTGGAACCTCGCGCTACCTGAAGACAAACCCAGAATTCTGTTTCGCCCGCAGACCGGCGATTCGCGAAATATCACTTAGGAAGGCGGATCGAAACCTACGATTAGCAACGCCAAATAATTGCAAGAAGGGCCAGGAGGAGCGTATATGAAATCGACGATACATATTCATGGGAAAACGCAATAGTGGCAATGACGGCTCTTGTTCATACCCTGCCTGGCATCATACTTCGGCACTCGGCATCAAGGAACCCAGTGCAATATTCTGCGGCTGTCGAATGTGATCACTGCTACTTGACCACTTCCACCTGGATGCAGCGTGAAGAGATCAAGACTAGACCGAGAAGCTACCAGCAAACGAGCTAGAAGAGGTGCAAAGCACACCGGTGATGAGTATCAGGAAAACATACGCATAAACGTGCCACGAATATGCCCAAGGATTTCCCTGCTATGATAACGGACCGCGATGCTGGAGCATGACACTGGTCGGCTGAGTAAATGTCAAATCAGCCTGGAAAGCCAGTCTGCAAATTGTATTATCGCGTCGATAAAGAAGAACGCCAGCCCAAAGTTGATCACCCACCCCTAACGCCACCATACATGCTGCTGTAAATAAACCTGTGAGCCACCAAGTAATAGTTACATCCTACCCGACTGCCAATGTGTTGCTGTACATGATGTTGCTTCGACCTCAGTGGAACCCCGACCATCTTGAAGGGTATCGCTCCTGCTGCTGTAAAACTTTGTTCCTCTTCGCGCTGGCAAAGGGGTTGTAGTTGGGCGCGCTCGTGACATCCAGCGACTCCGAACCAGTGGACCTCCTAGTCTCTGATTGTTTGAGCGGGCTGCCACCACGGCGCTGTTCGAGGGCGGCCATCTCCCTTGAGTTTCGGGGAGACATGAAGCCTTGGTTCATCTCGTTAAGGCTTGCCGTCTTCTTGAGCGGTGAGTTTGCGTGACTGAACACGCCGAGGCTGCCGCCAAAGTTCGTTGATCCCGTGTTCGCCGCGGCATTGCTCGTGGAAGTCGAAGTAGATTGATACGCAGGGGCGGGAGGAAGGCTCTGGCGGATCGGTCGGGTGCTGGGTACGGGGGTGAAAGACTCGGAACGCCGGTTTGTGGTCGGCGTAAAAAGACGAGAGGCAAAACTGCTAATGGGAGGAGTATGGACAGACTCCTCCTGCTTCACGTGCGGATTGGGCGTAACGACGAACTCCCTCTTGATGACGGTGGTAGGGGTACCTAGCTCAACAAAGGACTCTTCATCTTTCGCTTCTTCTGGGGAGCACTGGGTGCCGACATCGCGAACAACTGGGTTAAGACGCGGGCGTACGAACTTCGTATCATACTCATGGAGCACCTCCTTTTGGATGATGGCCGTATCCTTGATTTGTTGAGCGTACCGGTTCTGGACGAAAGTGAGCTGAACGGTAAGAATCAGCTGCAGAATGACACAGTTGAAGATCGTAACACTCGGCCGAGGGTCCATGGGCACCAGCGGGAGGAACATCATGTAGACGAGAATGTGGCCGGGGCTGAACAGGCAAAAGAGTTGCAGAGAAACCGGAAGCGGATCCCAAACGCTCAGCTCCCACACATCGTGTGCCCTGTCAGGATGAGCCCGCGATTCGGCGGTCTCGGAGACCAGCAGACTGTTCAGCAATCGGAGGGGGGAAGAAGCAGCCGGGTCGGATTTGGCCTTGACTCTTTGAGCAGAGGGAGTGTGCGGTTTGTCTTCGACGTTGACCTGGAATAGCCGGTACTGTCTCGTCCGCGTCATGGCGTAAAAGGCATTGGAAAGTGAGAGAATGCCCAGAATCCAAACGAGCGGTCGCACCTAGCGTGTGTTAGTGCCCACACATCGCAAACCATATGCTAGGTTCCACCTACGACGAACGTGATGATGTTGCCTGAGCTTCCATCGCTGAACACATCATCCTCGACCTCGGTTGCCGCGCAGTTAGCCCTGGCAAGAAGGAATGCGAAGTTGAAGCCGAGCCCAAGTTGGGTACCGAGAGCCTTCGAATTCCAGTCCCTCGTTTCAAGTTCTTCCGACAGCCAGAGCAAGAAGTCCATAGGGTTGAGCAACGCCTTCAGGCGTTCGGAGAGCGGCTTCTTTCGCACGAGACGCGGCATCTTGTCGATCTGCGCTTCGTCTTTTCGAAGTCGTCGTCTCGGGGAGGATAAAGTGTGGATAACCTTGGGGATGTTGGGTTGATCATCGGCAAGGGACCGAAATGGATGTCGAAGTGGTCGGTATCGTTGTCGTTGCTGGGTGAAATTGTTTACAAAGGATATGGGGCTATTGATTTTGGGAAGTTACGGGGCGAACTGTCTAGGTCGAATTTGGTTAGCGTGTTTTCTTTCTCCTTTGGCGACTGTTTGCAGAGTGGGTCCCCACTTCTTTATTTGAAGTTCCTACTACTATTGAAAGTCGAGCTTCAATCCTTCAGATATCCTACGGTGCAACATAAACCTTGATTGTGTTGTGCAATGCAAGAACCAATGTTTCGTTTCCGGAAATGATGAGTATGCTTCTTAATCTCCATCCACGTACTCTAACTGCCAATTTATATCTGGTTTACTACACTTGCGCGCAACGCCCGCCTGTTGCCCATCCTAAGCTTCCCGTATCCCTAAGCTTCGTCTCTCATTGAAAACACGATTACTAACATAGAGTAACAAAAATACACAGCCAGATAGTGTTGACACATTTTGCGCATCCATTATCTAAGCAAGTGTGCAATTCTTATGCGAGTCCGGTGATGAAGATCACATCCTCAGTTTCATCGATGTAAACATACGTACGAGCGTACTCGAGGTGTCGAAAAATGTGCTTCTATATCGCTCGACTCGATCTCCTTGAGGAGGATACTGAAGTCTTCGATCTGTGAAATGCCGTTCTTCCACTATAATGCTTGGCCAGAGGCCCCAGGCATAAGCTGGAGACAGCAAGTGAGTAGATTCACATATTGAGACTTCTGGTCAACATAGAAGTTTTTCCTGTCGCTCGAGTGCTAAGTCTACGACCTTGGAATAGATAAGATAATTCCGCCGACCGGCTAGAGCCCGATTCATCAGGAATGCCTATCATCGAGTGAAGATCATTGAGTTTATTCTCAGTCGCGATAGAGGAGCTGGCTCATAGTAAAACCCAAGAAGGGATCGGTTGAAAAGTCGAGAGCCAACGATTCTCCGAAATTCATTGAACAAGCAGCTTTATTATCACTAGTTCAAGTCTGCGAGCTGTTCCAGGACTGCCTGGTAGGTAGACTTGATGCCGGCTATTAGGTCTGTGAAGAGTTTGTGACTGGTGTAGTGACCGCCCCATGTAGAGAACCTGGCATGCGGTGAGTCTTCTGGATGTCCTCGAACTAGCGGCTGATGAATAACGGGATGCCGTGCTGAATCATGGTGCGAAAATATTCTGTAGTAGAATATGGCGAGAATTCTTCTGCAAGAATCCCGTCTACCAGCCAACGCCTTCCAGACTGCGTACTCGAGTTAGGTTAAGTCTTCGCACTACACTCAATTCAATGCGTTAATTGTTAAGACCAACCTTGGCCTCGAGGTCTTGTTAATGGATGACATTGGCGATATCCCGTTGTATATCCACACCTTGGCTTCAACGTATTATATGCAAGATCCTGCATGAGCTAGAGAGCATGAGGGATGATAACACCGTTGTCGAAAAGAAGGGGAGATGAGCATGCCTCAGATTACCGTCAAGCCGAACTCCATCTCTAAACAGAATAGGCATTCATGCAATCATGTGCGCCCTGCAACGATAAGTGCTTGCCCTGCAGATGACAGGACATCCGTCCGCCGTTCGACATTGCTGGTGTCTTGTCCAGTGCAGAGCCTTGCGTAATCCTTAGCTGCCCTGTCATCACCTATGTGCCGGTAGGTACCTCGTTATATGTGAGGTACAAAGCTCGCCAGTTCTCTGGTAGCTTGGCCTTGCACTCTCTACTCCAGATGTGCGTTGTTATAGTAGCACCATAGGGACGGTTAGTTGAATATATACCGTATGATTTCAGTAAGAAAGCGAAAACATCCGATACGCAGAAAGTCATAGTTCATTCGGAAAAACCAGGCCCTCGTCTCCGTTCATGGTCGACTTCCAACTTGGGTATCCTAGGAATCTTCAATACGGTGTGCATGAACCGAAGCATGGATGCAACTATGGAAGATGGTGCCTTCCTACTGATCGATATTGCCTTTGCAGGTGGGGTCTGTCTTGCCCGTCGCAGCATCCGTGCCCATTGGCATTTTGGTTGCAGCGGGCAGTCCTGGCGCCGGAGCGCTAACACACTCTTCAGCCACAGCAGGAAGGTGCTGGAGTGGAGCGCTGGGCTGTGGTAATCAACGCACCTCAGTACGTCAATCGCCCGCCGACCACTTGGGCACTGCAAGCTCTCCCACAACCACAGAAGTCAACCCCAAGATGGCTTCGCAAGCTGATATGAAGGACCGCCAGTTCCTCGCCGTCATTGGCGACGAGGTGGGACCTCCCTCTCGAATGCCAGTCATGCAGTGGATGCAGCGCGCTGACAATAGTACAGGACTCGGTTACCGGTCTCCTTCTTGCCGGCATTGGGGTGCGCAACTCTTGCTTCAATGACGATGCGGCTTCGGCTCGAGATGACTGACCTGTCTATAGCACGTCAGCACGAGTGCTGATCAGGAGAAGAACTTCCTAGTGGTGGACAGCAAGACCGACACCTCTGCGATCGAATCCGCGTTCGAGTCGTTCACGACGAGGAAGGACATCGGCATTGTCCTCATCAACCAGCACGTCAGTTGCCGCAACGAGAGAGGACAAGCATATCGGGCTACATACTGATTGGGGGACAGATTGCCGACCGCATAAGACATCGCGTTGATACCTACACGGCCGCTTTCCCGACGGTTCTCGAGATCCCGAGCAAGGATCACCCATACGACCCAGAGAAGGACAGCGTTCTCCGCAGGGTTCGCCGGTTGTTTGGCGAGTAGACGTGCTCTTAGACACATGAAGGGGCTGCGGAAGGGTGGATGAGCACGAGATGGCAGGTTGATGGTCAATTCAAGTTGAGGGTGGACCATGCTGGCCTGTCTTGAAATAAATTGCAAGCTACCTATCTAGTACCGCTTCCCTATGTACGTACGCATCGTCAAGCCGATACTCCTACACAAAACACGCACTCGAAGAAAAAGACCCGGAATGAAACCATCCTATGCAAACAAAATGAAGTGCGGAATCCAAAGGGCCAGATGCTAATCCTTGCCATGAGATGATTCGAAACCCCCAACAATTTGGATGTATCGCTACGTGAAACTGTAATCCATGCCCATCATCGTAAGCCTTTATGATAGCCTATAGCTACTTAAAGATCCAAGCTGAAGAAGCTCTGCTGGCTGTTGCGAGAAAAGACGACCTGAGCGGTCAGGCAGGTGATGGGGACGTCGTCACCGGTGTAAACATCGGCGAAGACAGTATACTTGCCCTGCACAAGGCGTCAGTCGTGTTGCTAGATACAAATCGACACGGAACCAACTTACGGAAGGAATCTCGGCCGGAAGCTCGACAGACTTGGTAATGCTCAAGGTACCCTTCTCGATGGGGCACTCGAGGTCAACGTTCTCGATCTGTTCGCACAGGTCCGCCTTGGTGCTGATAAGACGAATGAGGCCGTACTTGACCTGCAGCAAGACGTAGGCGCCCTTCTCGATGGGCTGCTTGACAGTTCCGGAAGCCTTAATAACAAGCTCCTTGCCTCTAAAGAGAGATATTAGCTACCTGTTTGCGTCGCGATGGTTTGGATATGCGTCAAAAGGGACAAAGAGGGGCAAACGAACGCCTGAGGGGGGTTCGGGGCGAGGTCGACGCTCTCAATCTTGACGATATCGTCGGCGTGGGACTTGGGGCAAAGCTCCAAGGGCGAGTCGCCGGGGACCTTGAGGTCGTCCTTGACGATGACGGACTGGTCTCTCTTAACCAGGACGCTGGCACCGACCGGCGCGAGGCCGGCGGAGAGGAAGGCGATGACGGCCGTGGCGAACCTCATTGCGAGCAGAGGTCTAGGTGATTTGGTGTTATTAGGTGGACGGGATTCAAAGGTTCGAAGGGCGGCGTATTTCGACGTCGTTGATGCTCGGGTTCGATGTCCGAGGATGGCTGGAAGATGATGGAGAAGTGGTTCTGGCGAGTGGCTTTGGTTGGTAGGTGGTGAGCAATGAGGCTGGGCGTGGAGGGAGAAACGTCATGGGACCTGCCAAGGGCTTCTATGATTGGGCAAAGCTGGGTGGACCTTGGTTGGAGACAAGCGCCGTTTCCCTCCACAGCGACCATGGCGACATGCAAGTCCAATTGCGTCCATTGGGAAGAAGAGCACGCCTTGATGTGGAAATACGTATGCACAACCACGGGAAGAAGACAATCAGTTATAGTCGTCACACAAGCAAGAGAGACGGGTTCTGGACATAAAGTAGACAACACCATCAGTAGACTTCAAATGTTCCAACGGCCCCTACAACACGTACCGGTTTGCTGTGTCAACGCACAGGCCATATCGAATCTCCACTTTTGGCGTCTTCCTCTCCAGAATCCCACTTTCGTTATCAACTTTCCAGCAACCAGATTGTCTCTTCTTGAAACGATCCTTCCATGTCATTTCAACCCGCGCACTCCGCGATCAACGAGCGGCATTTTCACCTCCTCGCTCGCATGAGAGAACGTCCATGCGCGATCAAGGCGGCGCGCCACACACACACACACACACACACACACACACACACACACACACACACACACACACACACAAACGCGCGTTGTTGTCGGGATTCTAGCCACGGTAATAAACCTGGCATTTCGCCCCCGCTCGTACTCGTCTTTGAGACGGCTGGGGCCAATGTCACGGAAAGGGCAACCGGGCCTGTTTCGACTGCGCCGCCATCGCTGGAACATCCCTGGACATCCTGGCCCCGTGGACAGGATCGATGCAGCGGCTTTCAGGATGAGAGATCGGCCCGCCATCAACCCCCCAGGGTCTTCCGTCGCCACAGGCTCATGGCCATTTTTCAAGCTTCCAGTATCGGGATTTGGTATTCGAAGTCTCGGTTCTGCGCCTGTTTCGTGATTGGTCTGAACCTGAATCCCCACGACTCAAGAAGTCGTGCGCCGGCATGGATGGTGACCAGGAAGGAAAGGTAGCCATACCACCTGCATCTCCCGTGGTGAGAAAGCCCATGGTGCGCAGGTCTGTTGGCTCTATCCAATCAGACCAGCATCGCGTGCAGGGAATAGGTGCCAAAAGAAGTGCTCGAGTGAGAGTCTGCTTGGACAACGATTGGGGGACACCGTGACAAAGTACCCAACACCTCCTCTGCAGCCCCGGCTACCATTGTCGCAAACTTTTGCTAGGTCTCGCAAACGAGAGCGTAGGCTGTGTAGCACAGGGAGTCCCTCGCCAGTGGGAGACGGCCGCGAATCATGCTGGGGGCACCGACGTGATTAGCTGACGGGGCTTGAAGGTCGCGGCTCTTTGTTTTTGTTTGTCTATTGCCAGTTGCGGCGAAGATGAGAGAGGTGGGGGGAGGGGCGAGAAGCGGCACAGGCAGCATCTTTCCTACCTGCCACCTAATCAAGGTAGGAAAGGCAAAGGCTCACATCACTGTCCTCACGTCGCACCGTATTTGGGTCATGCCGTCGGCCCAGGGGTAGTGAGAGTCTACATGGTAGAAAGCAGCAGCAAGCTCCAAGGGCGCCCGCCTGCGGCGGGACTTGAGGTGCACGCAACTCCGCTAGACGTGAGAGGAGCATTGACTGGAGGAGGTCAAAGTACCGATACTTGTGCAACTATGACTTGGGAAAGGTAGGCAGGCAGACTGATGGCACCTCAGCAGCCTAAGAGGCCTTCCCCATGTCGCCGCGACCGCGTAGAGTTCAGCGCAGCGTGCCATTTATCGAGCTTCTAGAGGCCAACTTAGTCTCTGGTGGTGAGGGGTCGGGTACGACGGCGAGCTGATGCTGGTTTGTGCCGGCAAAGTGCCCCGGTGTACGATGTACATGTGCGTGGGTAGAGTGCATGAAGGACGGCATCCAATCATAAATGATGGTGTAGGGTTTGCGGTTGGCAGAGAGAAGATTTGGAGGCGAGAGTCTGCTGGAAGAGTGAGGGGTCAAGGTCGAAGCAGTAAGGTGTCATAGGAGAACGGGCGAATGGCGGCATTCAGTGCCTAGAGGATGCATGGCTTCAAGCTTGAAGTGATGATGACTTCGAGTTGCATACCGCTGTCGGTGGTAGTATGCGAGCAAGTACCGTAGAGAGATGGGGGGCTTTGCTGCAGCCATCAGTGTCGGCTCTGCAGGCGACTTCAATCGATTTTCGACCACCAATAGCCCGGGGACGAGCAGTCTTGATGGGGGCAAGGCTGGCATGGGCGGTACCAAATCGCATGCGAAAAGCTGCAGGTCTCCAGCCGAATTGTTACAGGGAGCGATAAGACCGGCTGTAAGACCTTCGCCCATTCTCGAGAAGGGCACATCAGCCAATGAGGAGGAGGCGGCGGTGGGAGTTGAGTTGCGACTCGAGACGATTGGGGGAGTCAGCATACAATGGCACGAAGCGACGCTGCGCCACGGGACCTTAGAAGTTACCGTCTGCAGGTAATGACAGGGACAAAATGAGCAAAAAACAACAACAATAATTAATGGTTAAACCCACCGAAAAGAAGGGTCCCAGCCTGCCTTCCAATATACGCAGACCAATTCGGTTCTTTCTCTGCCAAAGGCCACACAGTAGTGTACTTTTCTTTCTTTTCCGAGAGTTTCCCCCAGGTACCTCGGCCTATGAGGTTGGTGTAATCAGCATCCTTTCCGGTATGAACTTTAGGCGCAACTTGGTGAACCAAGGCCCTTTAGCTGACGACTCAACGAACTCTATCTTACCTTCGGTCGGTCATGGTGTGTGTGACTGATGAAAATTGGTGGGGACGGACAGTTGGCGTGGGAGGCCGGGCGAAGTGACGCCTCCGAATCAGACCAGCACCTTCTATTGGATCGGTTGCTCATGGGTCCCTTTTCTCGATGACTTGAAGGATGCTCCGAGTGTCTCTCTCCCGGACTCTCCTTGGGTCACCCTATCCCTGGCTCGGATTGATTGGTCATTCCGACCCACCCATCCCGTTGCCCCGGACGAATCAGAAGAACTCTCTAGGCGGATTTCACACGAGGAGAACAAGGTACACCCACCACCAACGAGACGACGCAGCAGGGAGAGGTCCCTGACCACCGCTCCTTCTATTATCAAAAAGAAATAAGAGAAATTCACCATAACAGGCACGGCCTCATGTTGCTGTTGGGACGGGATGAAAGCCATACTCGTGGACACACTATGTACATCCCCGACTCGCGATGCTACGGATTCACAATCATCGATCCGCTCTCTCAACGACGACTGGAACTCGACAGATAGCGATCAACGACGCCAGACATTCTTCTACCCGCGGTGCTCTGCAGGCATATACATACGCAAACATTTGCTCTATTTTTGATCCATGTTTGCTCTAGCACAAATAGAGAGAGGGGTCGGATAAGCACACTCTGGTTTGGTGTTTTGCCGCCCGTTTCTTTGCTTAGGTAGGTATGGCACGTACCTATGCACCCGCCGTCGCGACACACGGATGCCTTCTTTTGCAGGCGGAAAACTGCTTTAGCCAAGGCAGGCAGGCAGGCATTAATGGGCTACTAGGTACCTGCAGAATCCACCCGGTCGTCGCCTGCTCCATTCTGAGTTAACCGTTCCCGTCAGATCCGCCATTCTGCTAGGGCCAGAGAGAGGAGAGAGGCGGCGCACGACGACACCGACACCAACACCAACTCTGTCTGCCCATTTCTTCTCTTTTATTACTCATTAAATCTTTGCATGCCGCCTCTCGTCCCTCCACTTCCGCCCGTCGAGTCTGCCTCTTGATTCTGTTCACACTTATCAGCCCGGCCATGGCCACCAGTTGCT